TAGACACTTTTGTATATTGCCTAAGACCTGTTTGGCCTGGCCCTTCAAGGTCAAACACATCATATTTGGATGCAGGATGTCTAATAGTGTGAGAATACGCAAAGTAAGTGAATAGGACTTTCTGAACATTAACCTTTTTGAACCAGACGCCGCTGCTCCAAGATTCTCCTGGAACATACTCTTACTGATGTTAGAAAGGCTTTCTTCTCTGTTGGATTGGGTGTGTACCTACACGGAATTTGTTGCCTGAGGAAGCAGTGTGTGCCTGTAACTTGAAAACCTTCAAACAACTGTTACACTCCCACCTTCATTTCATGACTCTGTATGCATTCACTTAACTTCGATTAGATCAGGATATTGTCGATATTAGTGTAGTTCTCTAGTTTACTAATATTACTGCTAACTTTTGTATTGGAAGATGCTCAATTCCAGTTCTAGTTTGTACTCTGATGCAGTGGCAGCAGTCAGCAGAACACCTTCAATTAAGGGGGTGGGGGGGGGGGGGGCGGCACTGCTCACTTTTGGTCCCATTCTTTCCATGCAATGCCCATAGGGCTAATGCTTAAATGTCAAAATCAAAGGGGGCACAGTGCCCCGGTGCCTCCGTTCCGCCGTTTATGCTCTGATTTATTTTATGATAAATTTAGTCCGAACCTTTTGATAGGAAGGATTCACAAGGACAGAGCCACCGCTAAGCGAAGCTTGTTGCGGTGACCCCGCACATTGCCCCAAAAGACGGTAAATAACTTTTGAAAATACCTATCTCCAATTTTAGTGTTTTCTGGACCAAAATTTTGCAAGGAATCCGATGGTGTGGTCCCCGAGATCCGAAAAATTTCCATTTTGGAGATAGCACCTATTTTTGAAAAATAAATATTCGTCAGGCATAATAGTCAAATAAATTGAAAATATAATGAGTTAATTTTTGTAACAACACTCGAATGTGTCGAACATGAATTAGAGATATATTTTAGCTGAGATGATACTATATCTGCGCATACATGTACATGAACTAGTACATTAACCCTCGTAGGCCGAGAAGGGGTGGGGCGGGTGCCGCCTCATAGGGCTTTTCGCGATAGCTTAAAACTCGCTTAGGTTAGACAGCTGAAACTTGGTATACCTAATCTTTTATTCAAACTGGATCTTTTGACCTCAACTGCGTTTTCAGGTCAGATCAGGTCACTGACCTATGACGTCATTAATAAACCTCTGCGAAGTCCTCAGATGTTGCAACTTTGCAACGCACTCAGTGCCAGAGGAACTTTCACAGGAAGATGAAAGTTACAGGACGTAGTATCCTTCTGAGGTCTCACAACTTGTTTATCTCGGATTTAACCTAAATGTCACATGAGGTCAGGTCGGTCACGTGACCTCACCATTATAAGTCAATGGGGGAAATATTGAAACTGTTATTTTGGCGCCGGAAATGATCTAAAACTATCCCAAGCACATGGAATCGTGGTTTCATGATCGGACCTTACAAAGAGTGCATGAAACCACGATTTCATGTGCTTGGGACAGTTTTTAGACAATTTCCGGCGTCAAAATAACAGTTTTCATATTTCCCTCCATTGACTTATTATGGTGAGGTCACGTGACCGAACTGACCTCATGTGACATTTGGGAAAAATCTGAGATATACAATTTGTGAGACCTCTAAAGGATACTACGTCCTGTAAGTTTCATCTTCCTGTGAAAGTTCCACTGGCACTGAGGGCGTTGCAAAGTTGCAACTTCTGAGGACCGTGCAGAGGTTCATTTATGACGTCATAGGTCCGTGACCTGACCTGACCTGAAAACGCAGTTGGTGTCAAAAGATCCAACTTGAATAAAATATTAGGTATGCCAAGTTTCAGCTGTTTTCCCTCATCGTGTTTTGAGCTATCGCGAAAAACCCTATGAGGCGGCACCCGCCCCACCCCTTCTCGGCCGACGAGGGTTAATGTACTAATTCATGTAGGGGAGAGTGGGGCAAAGCGGCCACCCGGGGCAAAGCGGCCACCCATCGTTTTAGCCCTTCATAGCTGGCGTCAGTTCCAATTTATGGTTTCCAATTATACTTCTCTTCACGGTCATTCGAATGAGCCAGACCGGGGTTTCAGGCCCATCACCATTGTTCTGTGAAACACGGAAAAGCATTTCTTGCCAGGTTACCAACTATATTTACAATTTTTAAATGTTATGTTATTCCATAACCGTTTGGAATTTTTATAAGCGTTCTTGTCCATGCATTGCATGGTTATCGTACATGTATTCTACCAATTTTAATGTTTTTTTACCCCCCCAGTAAACATGACGACGTCGGCCCGACGTCGGCCCAACGTCGGTTCAACCTCGTCCCGACATCGGCTGGACGTCGGATATGCCCGCATGTTCCGACGTCCAGCCGAAGTCCAGCCGACGTCGAGCCGACATTGGGCCGAGATCGTTTGCCGAGGTTGACGAGATCGTTTGTCGTTGGACCGACGGGGCCGACGTCGGCATGTTTATTGGGACAACGCGCCAAAAATATCAACCGGCGGCGGGATTCGAGCCCCCCAGTCGCCGACGTCGGCATGTTTACTGGGACAACACGCCAAAACTATCAGCCGGCGATGGGATTCGAACCCCGTGTCATCCGAACGCGAGGTTAGTGCGCTAACCACTACACCACGCAGCCAGCTAACGTTTTAGGTTTGTTTTGTTGGGTTATGCCCTTTCGGTCTGACAAGACCATTTCAGAGCCGGAAAGATCATAGGATGGAGACATTGGTCTTCTTGGCGAGCACCCTGGGTCCAGTTCATATAGAGTCCCTGGTCCCATTGCTGTTACGTGACACTTATTGGAAAGGGCGACCCCACAATGGGTTCATATAGCCACTCTTATACACCTGCACCAACGTTTCCCAAAGTGTCCCTTTGATAAGTGGCACTTTGGCAAAGTGACACTTGCCGACTGGCCTTTCTATATGAACTGGGCCCGGCCCTGGTGAGTTGCCGGGGCTGAGCCTGACCAAAGGATAGGCCGAGCAGCCCCCAAGCACTCACCGCACCCGGCTACGGGCGATCTCGGCTTACGGGCAATCCCAAATGGAATAAAGTTTCCCGTCCAGTCCGGATCAGGGGGTTGCGGCGTGGAGGAAGATTTGAGTTTCCTGAGGATATTTTGAATGCAGAAGCTCTTTATGAAACATGAAACATGTATTTTATATTATTTTAACGGTCAAAACAGCGGCCGATGTCGGTCCGACGTCGCCCCGACGTCGGCCCGACGTCGGCTGGACCTCAGCAATTGATCTCGGTCCGACGTCGGCCCGACGTCGGCTGGACCTCGGCTGGACGTCGGAACATGCGGGCATATACGACATCCAGCCGACGTCGTGCCGAGGTTGGACCGACGTCGGGCCGACGTCGGCATGCTGATGCCGAGTTGCCGACGTCAACCCGACGTCGGCCGACGTCGGGCCGACGTCGGCATGTTTACTGGGCCACTAATAGCAAAGCTGGAATATTTTTGTCTCGGACGGTATGCGCGGGGCAAAGTGGCCGGGGCAAAGTGGCCACCCCCCAATTGGCCATAAGTTGCTTCCATCTGGATAAAAAACATTATTTATATTCAAATGTGTCGTCATGCATTCATCTTGGTCACTTTTCATCTGCATGATTTACCAAATAATGGAATTAAATGTTTATTTTCATGAAAATCCTTTCTTTGTTTACCTACAGGTGGAAGATGATAAAGTAAACATCCATCCTCGCTTAACCTTGTCACCATCAAATACCCTAGTCGTACACGAGGCAGCTATTTTATTTCTCATATCAGTACTTGAGAAGACGCCGGTGGCCGCTTTGCCCCAGTGTATGGGGCAAAGTGGCCAATATGCATAGGTTTAAAGTTTTGTCAATATCTTTCATATGTGAACGCCTTTGGAAATAAAACGCAGTTGAAATAAAAGGCAACTTAATAGGGATCACATTGGTATAGAAAGAATCTTTCCAAGTTTAAAAATCAAGCGTTGGCATCGTGAGGAGCGTTAGGGTGGCCGCTTTGCCCCACTCTCCCCTACATGTATGAACAGATATAGTATCATCTCAGCTAAAATATATCACTAATTCATGTTCGATACATTCTAGTGTAAGTATAAATATTCACTCATATTTTCAATTTATTTGACTTTTGTGCATGACGAATATTTACTTTTCAAAAAATAGGTGCTATCTCCAAAATGGAAATTTTTCAGATTTCAGGGACCACACCATCGGATTCCTCGCAAAATTTTGGTTCAGAAAACACTAAAATTGGAGATAGGTATTTTCAAAAGTTATTTACCGTCTGTTGGAGCAATGTGCCCGCCCTCCACCCTCCGATCGTGCAATTCCAGTTCTATGGCAGGATTTAGAGTCCAAACAGCGGCACACATAGCGGCGTACGGCCGGTCCCCTCACTGACTTCGCCTGGCTACGGCCTGCCACCAACCGCAACCATACCTACCTGTCAGGAGGCCCATAAATGTCAAGCGCCCGTCGCGCTTCGAACCCGGACTGTTATAACTGGGAACGCGTGCTCTCACCATGCGGAGTCCAACGCTCTACCAACTGACCTACGGGACCGGCTGATGGCCTTATAGCAGCTTTGAACCTGGAGAAGTGGCGTGTCGTAGGATCTGGATTCCTCTACCCCATCTCGGGGCAATACTTCAGGTTTTTTGGCATTAATCACCATCAAAATTGTGTTTTTTAATGTTAAAAATTGAAGTTTTTCCCATCCCGGACTATTCCCAATTAAATCCTGAGGGCTGTTCACGGGCCCTGTGTGCGGTAGGACCGTACACCGGCTCCAAGCTCCGCTCACTGCGTCCCTACGTCGTCCTTCCGTCACCCGCTGTGCGCACACAGCGTTAGCTGTGTGCGGTCCATCGCACGCAGCCGTGTGACGTCAGAGCCGCCTACCCATCCCCTACCCCATGCCTGCTGCACACACCGCACACACCGCACTTGCAATTTGCGGTGCCAGTGAACAGCCCTATAAGACATAAGTATCCATGCATGTGGTAATACACAATAGCTATTCTTGTATCCCTACTGATCTGCCATCTAAAATATTTCATGATTTATTGTTTCAGGTTTACCCACCAGCTGAATAAAATTCACAGCTACCATAACTAAGCTCCTCGCTAACTTCAAAAGTACTGTTATTCTTCTTTCTCAAATAGTAGAGCCAGCTACTGTACAGTCGGCAAGGAGCAATCTGGTCACACACTGCCACCAGTCCCAGGGTACAGACTCAGCGGCGGGCAGTCTTGCCGGCCGCAGTGCTCCCGCTATGAGCCGGCTGCAGCCTCCGAAGCGGGACGCCGGCGCCTCCTCGGACGAGGAGGTGCTTGATGACGTGCCGATCGACGAGTTCGCGGCGGCCACGCTGCGTCTGGCGGCCAGTCCGTCGCCGGCGCCGGCCGAGGCCGACCGGGCCGTGTCCGAGGAGGCGGTGCCGGTGCCGGCGGTGCGCGCAGCGTCCATCTACAGTCCGGACGGGGGGCCGGAGCCGCCGGCCGGACTGACGGCGCCGCCGCCGCCGGCCGCCAGCGCCGACAGCTCTCCGGCCAGCTCCGGTGGGTGGCCCGACAGCTCTCCGGCCAGCTCCGGTGGGTGGCCCCCCGACGGCGGGCCTGCTGTTCAACCCGCTGCGGGGAGGCCTGCTGTCCAGCTGTCAGGGCGGGGAGCCTGCTGTCCAACTGTCAGGGCGGGGGGCCTGCTGTCCAACTGTCAGGGCGGGGGGGCTGCTGTCCAACTGTCAGGGGGGGGGGAGCCTGCTGTCCAACCCGCTGGGGGGGGGGGCCTGCTGTCCAACTGTCAGGACGGGGGGGGGCTGCTGTCCAACTGTCAGGGCGGGGGGGGGGCTGCTGTCCAACTGTCAGGGCGGGGAGCCTGCTGTCCAACTGTCAGGGCGGGGAGGCCTGCTGTCCAACTGTCAGGGCGGGGGCCTGCTGTCCCATTGTCCGGGGGAGGCTTGCTGTCTCACTGTCAAGGGGGGGGGGGGCTGCTGTCCAACTGTCAGGGCGGGGAGGCCTGCTGTCTCACTGTCAAGGGGGGGGGGCTGCTGTCTAACTGTCCCACTGTCAGGGTAGGATGTCTGTTTTCTTTGAAATATTAGTGGGATGAGAGCTGCATGTGCAGAACATCGCTTAGTTCTTAGTTATGACCTCCATGTCTGTTGTATGCTTAACATGAAATGCTCCTTGCAATATCAAGTGCAGTATTTATTATGTAATTGGATTCGTGAAGGCGTATTGTCAGACTTGATTTAAGTAGACCACAAATGCCGATTAAATGCCTATTATAATTCCCTGTCGCCCATTGACTGTGTGTTGACGGGTCCACCGGTGCCGCAGACTCGGGCACCAAGACGTTCTTTTCGACTCGCACCGGCGCGTTCGAGACTGCCGTCAACAAGTGCAAGAGGGTGCTGCTGCCCTCTGACGGCCAGTTCCACAGCGCCTGGCTGCTCACACTGTAAGCAGACAGGGGGTGACAATAGTTCACTGCAGCTTTCTTGTCTGTCACACATATGGAGCATAGTGAGTCCGTCCCAGCTCATTAACATCTCATATGGAACATAGCTTTCCGCGGGCTTCAATTTGCAGAAACTTTCATGCATTTTTTCTGTTGGCAGTGGTGCTGTCCTTTATTAACCAGCTTTGCAGTTGACCTGTGCTGTCCGAATGGCCGGATAACGGTACCCCCGTTGTGGCGCCAGGATCGACCACTGGGACGTGGAGAAGGAGCGGCTGGTGCTGCTGTCGGAGCGCGCGCTGCTCATCATCAAGTACGACTTCATCGCGCTGCAGGCGGTGGCCGTGACTCGGGTGCCGCTCAACGCCCCCGACCGGATCGTCATCGGCGAGATCACCTACCCGCCGACCTCTATCACACCGTGAGTGGGGCAGACAGATACAGACATCACACCGTGAGTGGGGCAGACAGATACGGACATCACACCGTGAGGGGGGCATACACCACACCGTGAGTAGGGCAGACAGATACAGACATTACACCGTGAGGGGGGCAGACAGATACAGACATCACACCGTGAGTCGGGCAGACAGATACAGAACCACACCGTGAGTGGGGCAGACAGATACAGAACCACACCGTGAGTGGGGCAGACAGATACAGACATCACACCGTGAGTGGGGCAGACAGATACAGACATCACACCGTGAGTGGGGCAGACAGATACAGACATCACACCGTGAGTGGGGCAGACAGATTCAGACACCACACCGTGAGTGGGGCAGACAGATACAGACACCACGCCGTGAGTGGGGCAGACAGCACACCGTGAGTGGGGCAGACAGATACAGACAGCACACCGTGAGTGGGGCAGACAGATACAGACAGCACACCGTGAGTGGGGCAGACAGATACAGACATTGCACCGTGAGTGGGGCAGACAGATACAGACATCACACCGTGAGTGGGGCAGACAGATACAGACACCACACCGTGAGTGGGGCAGACAGATACAGACACCACGCCGTGAGTGGGGCAGACAGATACAGACACCACGCCGTGAGTGGGGCAGACAGATACAGACATCACACCGTGAGTGGGGCAGACAGATACAGACACCACGCCGTGAGTGGGGCAGGCAGATACAGACATCACACCGTGAGTGGGGCAGGCAGATACAGACACCACGCCGTGAGTGGGGCAGACAGATACAGACATCACACCGTGAGGGGGGCATACACCACACCGTGAGTGGGGCAGACAGATACATACATCACACCGTGAGGGGGGCAGACATCACACCGTGCGTGGGGCAGACAGATACAGACACCACACCGTGAGTGGGGCAGACAGATACAGACATCACACCGTGAGTGGGGCAGACAGATACAGACATCACACCGTGAGTGGGGCAGGCAGATACAGACACCACACCGTGAGTGGGGCAGACAGATACAGACACCACACCGTGAGTGGGGCAGACAGATACAGACATCACACCGTGAGTGGGGCAGACAGATACAATTACAGACATCACACCGTGAGTGGGGCAGACAGATACAGACATCACACCGTGAGTGGGGCAGACAGATACAGACATCACACCGTGAGTGGGGCAGACAGATACAGACATCACACCGTGAGTGGGGCAGACAGATACAGACATCACACTGTGATTGGGGCAGACAGATACAGACATTGCACCGTGAGTGGGGCAGACAGATACAGACATCACACCGTGAGTGGGGCAGACAGATACAGACATTACACCGTGAGTGGCAGACAGATACAGACATCACACTGTGAGTGGGGCAGACATCACACCGTGAGTGGGGCAGACAGATACAGACACCACACCGTGAGTGGGGCAGACCGATACAGACATCACGCCGTGAGTGGGGCAGACAGATACAGACATCACACCGTGAGGGGGCGACAGATACAGACATTGCACCGTGAGTGGGGCAGACAGATACAGACATCACACCGTGAGTGGGGCAGACAGATACAGACATTGCACCGTGAGTGGGGCAGACAGATACAGACATTGCACCGTGAGTGGGGCAGACAGATACAGACATCACACCGTGAGGGGAGCATACACCACACCACGAGGGGGCAGACAGATACAGACATTGCACTGTGAGGGGGCTACAGATAGGGGAGGATGGGGTCGACAAATGTCGAAATTTGTCTAGAGCCCTAATTCTACATGCTATAGAATTTTTCCAACGGAAATAAAAGTTACCATTTTCTAATCAAATTCATGTTTTATTGATTTTGAAGAAAATTACGAAAGGGAGATTTTTGAAAAATGTCCAGGGACTACTTCCACCAATGACACATGAGTAGGTAGAGGCTAGAATGTTTATTCGCTTTTGTCAGATATCGTAAAGGTCGGAGCGGCCAAATTATACTGCCGGCCAAATTACCCCATCCTCCCCTACAGACAGCATACTGTGAGTGGCAGACAGACACAGGGATTACCACCAGAATTTTACTGAATCCACAGTGTCGGTACTGAGTCCCCAGTGTCTATGCGGAGCCCCCACTGTGTACACCGAGTCTCTGAATCCCCAGTTTGTGTGCACTGAGTCCCCAGTGTGTGTACTGAGTCCTCAGTGTCTGTACACCGAGTCCCTTAGTCCCCCGTGCCGGTACTGAGTCCCCAGTATGTGCACTGAGTCCATAGTGTCTGTACTGAGTCTCTGAGTCCCCGGCATGTGTGTGCTGAGTCCCTGATCCCCCGGCTTGTGCGCTGAGTCCCCAGTGTCTCTACTGCAGAGTCTCTAGTGTGTGTGCGCTGAGTGCCTGAGTCCCCAGTGTCGTAACACTGAGTCCCTGAGTCCCCCGTGTGTGCACTGAGTCGGTGATCCCCCGGCGTGTGTACTGATCCGGTGTCTGCTGGTCGCCCGCCCGCCGCCAGGCGGATCTCGGGTATTGCCGGCGGCCTGGTGTCGGTGGTGAAGGGCTGCCTGATGGGCCGCGTCGGACAGACGGTCAGCCAGCTCAGACACTGCGTGCCGGGCGGGCCGCCGCACCGGTCGGCCGTCTCCACCAACGGCGCCGTCAGCTTCCAGCCGCGGTAGGTGCTGCCGCCGCACCGGTCGGCCGTCTCCACCAACGGCGCCGTCAGCTTCCAGCCGCGGTAGGTGCGGCCGCCGGCTCGGGGACCAGCATCCCGCGCCGGGCGCTGACACTGGCCGGCGACCTGGCTCTTAGAGCGGACAAAAATATCAACAATTGCAGACTGTTCACGTCAAAACATTATACCAATCGGCGCAATTGACCCTTCTGTTTTTCTCTGTTCGTCCGTGCGCTGCGCAGTTAAGAGATATTTGATAGTATGCGATCGGCCTACAGCAGAATCCTAGGCTGTGTCCCCTACCGTCCCGCTCTGCGCTGACTGTGTCCCGTACCGTCCTGCTCTGCGCCGACTGTGTCCCCTGCTGCCTGTCCCCCGCTCTGCGCTGACTGTGTCCCCTACCGTCCCGCTCTACGCTGAATGTGTCCCCTACCGTCCCGCTCTGCGCTGACTGTGTCCCCTACCGTCCCGCTCTGCGCTGACTGTGTCCCCTACCGTCCCGCTCTGCGCTGACTGTGTCCCCTACCGTCCCGCTCTGCGCGGACTGTGTCCCCTACCGTCCCGCTCTGCGCTGACTGTGTCCCCTACCGTCCCGCTCTGCGCTGACTGTGTCCCCTACCGTCCCGCTCTACGCTGAATGTGTCCCCTACCGTCCCGCTCTGCGCTGACTGTGTCCCCTACCGTCCCGCTCTGCGCGGACTGTGTCCCCTACCGTCCCGCTCTGCGCTGACTGTGTCCCCTGCTGCCCGTCCCCTACCGTCTGTCCCCCGCTCTGCGCCGACTGTGTCCCGTACCGTCCCGCTCTGTGCGGACTGTGTCCCCTGCCGTCCCGCTCTGCGCTGACTGTGTCCCGTACCGTCCCGCTCTGCGCTGACTGTGTCCCGTACCATCTGTCCCCCGCTGTGCGCTGACCGCCCTCGGTGCCGGCCCGTCCCGCCAGGTACCGGCGCGCCTCTGGCGTGCGGATCAGCTGGGACGGCGGTCGGCCGCTGTCACTGACACAGAGCTGGAACCCGCTGGCCAGCGACATCCCCTTCGTGACGCTCACCTCGCACTCACTGTTCTGGGAGCTGGGGGAGCCGGCGGACGGTGAGTGGGGCGCTGTCTGTTCTGGGGGGCAGTGGGTGGGGCGCCGTCTGTCCAGGGGACAGTGGGTGGGTGCGTGGGGAACAGTGGGTGGGGCGCTGTCTTTTCTGGGAGCTGGGTGGGGCGGAGGGCGGTGAGTGGGGCGCCGTCTGTCCAGGGGTGGGGTGGGGGGGGGGGGGGAGGCGCTGTCTGTTCTGGGGGCAGTGGGTGGGGCGCTCGTCCGCTGCTGGCCGCTCGCCAGTCTCTGGCAAAATTCGCCGTCCCGGTGGAGTGAGCAGCTCCAGTACGGTCTGTTTCGGGAGTCAGACAGTCAGTCGGGCGTGAATTAAATAGGACATCAATCACTGCAGGCTACATCATAAAAAATATGTTGCTAGCTGTGTATGTTAAGCCTTTTTTCAAATCGTCCGCTAAATGGCACAATTTACTCGAGATGAAAGGACGGTGGGATGCGGGTAGTGCACATTCATACGGACTCTGCTGCCTGATCGCCGACACCTAGGCAAAATTGCGCATTTTTGGCTAACGAACACTGGGCATGGTCCTGCATGGGGCATAGGCATGGTCCCTAATTGCTGACAGTTGTATCTGTTTTTATCTCTGGAAGCGTCACAGTGTCCGTCCTACAGTCCCCCCCCCCCTTCCCGGCAGGGTCGGGTCGTGGTACAGTGTCCGTCTAAAACCTTCTCCCCTCTCCTCCCGGCAGGCTCTGACCTCCGGTACAGTGTCTAGTTCTACTGTCTGTCATACGGTCCTCTCCTCCCTGGCAGGCTCTGGCCGCTGGGAGCGGTACGGCGTCTATCATACAGTCCCCACTCTCCCCCTCCGCGGCAGGCTCTGGCCGCTGGGAGCGGTACAGTGTCTGTCATACAGTCCCCTCCCCCTCCCTCCCCCACCCCGGCAGGCTCTGGCCGCTGGGAGCGGTACAGCGTGCAGGCGTTCTGCCGGCCGCTGCTGGAGCTGGTGTCCCGCGAGCAGGAGCGGCCCGACACGCCGTCCCACTGCGTCACAGAGCGCTGCCCCATCGTCGTCAGCAACTACGTGGGCGTGCTCAGCCTGCTGCACAACGCCACAGACCTGGGATTCTTCAAGAACCGCGGCCGGGTCAGTTTCTAGCGCGCCGGCGCCGGCCGGGGGCGGCCCGGGGTTACTGGCGGCCGGCCGGGGGCGGCCCGGGGTTACTGGCGGCCGGCCGGGGCGGCCCGGGCTTACTGGCGGCCGCCGCAGAGCTTCGGTTCGCCAGGACAGGTTATCGAGCTTTTCCAGAAGGGTAGTGGTCAGCGGTGCTGTTACTGGGTGCGTTGGTCTGGTGGTCGCTGTCCTTGGTGTACTGTGGGGTCGTGGGCTCACTTCGGTGACTGTCAGTGGACTGGGTGTGCCCGTCGACTGTCGGCGGACCGGGTGTGTCCCGTCGGCTGTCAGTGGACTGGCTGTCCACCGTTGGATGGGCCCCGTTGGTTGGAGGCTAGCGGACAGGCTGACCGGTAGCGGTAGCGTTGATTTGTGAAAGTACGTATCACCCTGCCCACTAGTGTCAAATTCCTCCGGTTCATGTGCGAAGCCGCATACACTGTAATTTCTTTGTAGTTGAAAGTACGATATATTATATATCGTCTGGCGAATAATACCAAAGATAAGTGCAATGGAGACACTAGTCAAACCTGTGGTATTTATAACTACATAAAATTCAATAAGCAAAAGGATGATGTTTCTTGATGTTGTTATCAAATATCAGATTTTGTGTGTTATTCAATGTGCAGTAAAATGATAATGATCCTAGCAATTTCTCTCAACTTGATATTCTTGTAAAATTGGAGACTTTTTCCAGTGTTCATTGAAATCTTGTTATATCCAATAATTTAGCTAGTGTGACAGGTGCGTTATTTTTTAACCATTTATTTTTATTTTAGCTTTGTGTGGTACACCTTACCGCATTTGCCGGGGCTGTCAACTATAATATGTTATTCCTCTTAAGTCTTTTATATTCGATGTTCGATTCATTTTAGCCAGCTCTGACGGATAATGAGCTTTTGAAATCCACAAGACCGCTGAGCTGGCGAAGGACATTGCTTATTTTGCAAGACTGAGTGCCATTTTTCGCTGCATTTCATTTTCGTATGATTTTGCACATTCCATCGAAACAGCATATACATTCATGTGAGCTTATAAATGGTGTATTTTCGAGGATGCATGCTCATGTTGATACAATTACCAAATACGTTGCTGATCTTCTCTTGCTCGAAAATTAATTGTGAAGCGTATATTTCCGGTCTTTAGAATGTATGATGAGAACTTTAGGGGAATAAACGATGCATGCGATGTGCGTGTATTCATATGTTGTAGTTTGTAACACAAGTACAAAGTGCCGGAATGGGTGAACTGGGCGGGATATCCCCTCTGAATGCAGCACCGACCAGGACAGTGGAGGACAATCTCGCCGCGAGTGACACGCCAACACGCTGGTGATAATTATGTATTTTACCGACCACACTCACTGGACAGAGCTCGACACACGGCGATCGCACGCACTGTGTACATGGCACAGGTCAGAGAACCCCCACCGGGCGCTCCGCTCCAAGCGTTCACTGGACTGAGTTCGGCGTATGTACATACACGGTGGTCTGACTGCGCGGTACGCTGCTGGGCTGGCGGCCCTGCCGCTCGCTGTCAGAGTACTCTCCTTACACTGCTATATCTGCACATGGCCCGGTTATAGAGACGATCGGACAGTGGAGCGAACATACGTCAACATGTGTGTGACAAACTGCTGCTGTCTACGAGCACTAATAGCGCACACCGGGCTCCCCCACCGTGCAGACGGGGAGCCGTACTACTGGGGACGGATATAGGCAGACGGGGAGCCGTACTACTGGGGACGGATATAGGACGGATATATAGGACGGGGAGCCGTACTACTGGGGACGGATATAGGCAGACTGGGAGCCGTACTACTGGGGACGGATATAGGCAGCCGGGGAGCCGTACTATCGGGGACGGATATACAGACGAGGAGCCGTACTACTGGGAACGGATATAGGCAGACGGGGAGCCGTACTACTGGGAACGGATATAGGACGGATATATAGGACGGGGAGCCGTACTACTGGGGACGGATATAGGCAGACTGGGAGCCGTACTACTGGGGACGGATATAGGCAGCCGGGGAGCCGTACTATCGGGGACGGATATACAGACGAGGAGCCGTACTGCTGGAGACGGATATAGGCAGTCGGGGAGCCTTACTACTGGGGACGGATATAGGCAGACGGGGAGCCGTACTACTGGGGACGGATATAGGCAGACGGGGAGCCGTACTACTGGGGAGGGATATAGGCAGACGGGGAGCCGTACTACTGGGGACGGATAAAGGCAGACGGGGAGCCGTACTACTGGGGAGGGATATAGGCAGACGGGGAGCCGTACTACTGGGGACGGATATAGGCAGACGGGGGAGCCGTACTGCTAGGGACGGATGTAGGCAGCGCACACTGGCCACTCTGCAGTCGGGGAACCGTACGACTCCGGGTACTGAGCTGTCTGCAGTGATAAGGCCAACAAAAACTACTACGCAAAGCAGTAGTTTTGTGTGCGTGTCTATATTAGAATTTTACATTGACTTTGAGGGTGCACACTTACTGCACAGCGCGCAATGCACATCTATAAACAATTTAAAACATCTTTTGTGGTATTTTATACGCATAGAATTTCTATACAGCTGTCAGCTTATTATTTAAAATCATGAATAAGAATTGAACACTGATGACAGCGATAAACTAAGATACCTTACACTAAGACTTACAATCGTACGTGCACGTATGTACAGCATATGGTCCATAAACAATGTTCAGCATGCCTTCATGTTGATCGAATAATATCCCTTATTCACCCATTGATGATTGTACAATATGTCGCTACGCTATACCCAATATGTATATACCTATGCGCCGATACCGTCCATCTCGCCGCTGGCAGACGGTGAGTCCGCGGCTCTGACGCCCCCGGACTCCACACTGCGCTGCGCAGTACGAGTCCCGCCTGCTGCGCGCGCACATGGCATGTGTCCCGCCCGGGCCGACCACGGCACTGCGGGGACCCGCTCCCCCTGCATGTAGGTCATCTAGAGCGACCCAGCCGACCCACATCGCCGCTGACTGGCCGATTTACTTCCCCCCCCCCCCCCTGCGCCTACGGCGGGCGCTGGGCTCAGTCCGGACTGCCCACACCTCCGATCCTGACCGGCCGGCCGGCGGCTCAGTCGACCGACCGGCGGACAGAGGCAGCCGCTGAGCTGGCCGGACAGGCTCAGTGCTGACGGCGCTCGGTCGGGCCCTGACTCTGACCGGCGGTCTCAGTCGGCGCCGACGCCGGCCACGCGTCTGACGTCGCTGGTGACGGCCGGCTCCAGGTCCGCCCTGCCGACGGCTACGTCCTCGGCCGACGGATCGGCGTCGCTCTCCACGTAGTGGTCGGCGAAAAACTGCGCCAGCCGCTCGCAGGCCTCGTGCATGAACTGTTGGGGCACCGTCAGCACCAGGCGCACATAGTTGGCCAGGTCGAAACACTGCAACGGACGCACAGCGGGCGGGCGGCGGCGGTCAGGGGCTCTGCGGGAATGGGCGACACCACGCAGATGGTTCGGGTGCTAAGCAAACGTGTCTTCTGCTATGCCAACACAATGATCCCTGCGTTCGTGACTGCCGGTTACTTTGAACCCCCTTCCCGATCCGTACCTCCGTGCGCTAACCCTTGCCGTTCATGCCTCCCCCGGCCGGCCTCGACCACGACCCTTGCTGGACCCGCCCCCTGTTTTAGTCCGCCCCGTTAACCCCGCGCCACGCCCCCTGTTTTAGTCCGCCTCGTTAACCCCGCGCCACGCCCCCTGTTTTAGTCCGCCGCCCCGTTAACCCCACGCCACGCCCCCTGTTTTAGTCCGCCCCGTTAACCCCGCGCCACGCCCCCTGTTTTAGTCCGCCCCATGGACCCCGCGCCACGCCCCCTGTTTTAGTCCGCCCCATGGACCCCGCGCCACGCCCCCTGTTTTAGTCCGCCGCCCCGTTAACCCCACGCCACGCCCCCTGTTTTAGTCCGCCCCGTTAACCCCGCGCCACGCCCCCTGTTTTAGTCCGCCGCCCCGTTAACCCCGCGCCACGCCCCCTGTTTTAGTCCGCCCCATGGACCCCGCGCCACGCCCCCTGTTTTAGTCCGCCGCCCCATGGACCCCGCGCCACGCCCCCTGTTTTAGTCCGCCGCCCCATGGACCCCGCGCCACGCACCTTTCCGGGCAGACAGAAGACGGACTGTTCGGTAACCATGGCCTCCACCACCTGTAGGTCGGTCTCGAACTCGGGCAGGCGCGCCATGTCGATACCCACCTGTGGGCCAGGTCATATCAGGTCACAGTACCACCCGCGGGTCGGTCACAGGTGGTCGCAGTACCACCTATAGGTCAGGTCACGGCGGGTCACAGTACCGACTGTGTGTCAGGTCACAGCTGGTCACAGTACCACCTGTGGGTCAGGTCACGGCGGGTCACAGTACCACCCGTGGGTCGGTCACAGCTGGTCACAGTACCGACTGTGTGTCAGGTCACAGCTGGTCACAGTACCGACTGTGTGTCAGGTCACAGCTGGTCACAGTACCGACTGTGTGTCAGGTCACAGCTGTTCACACTACCGAGTGTGTGTCAGGTCACGGCGGGTCATAATTGGGGAAAGGTATCGCTGAAGGAGGACTGTATCGTAAAGCTGTTGGTTGAGAATTCAGAACTCAGAACTTATGCTTGCCACGAGCCAGGGCAGTAGACCAATCCCAACAAATCAATGTGCGGGTGTCGTTAGGTCTGCCGTGGAGACCGAGATCCGTCAGCGCGGCTGGGGGAGCGAGGGAGGGCTGTCCGGGTCCGTCAGTTGGGGAGGGAGGGAGGGCTCTCTGGGTCCGTCAATTGGGGAGGGACGGAGGGCTATCAGGGGCCGTCAGCTCAGCTGGGGGAGGGAGGGAGGGCTCTCTGGGTCCGTCAATTGGGGAGGGACGGAGGGCTATCAGGGGCCGTCAGCTCAGCTGGGGAAGGGAGGGAGGGCTCTCTGGGTCCGTCAATTGGGGAGGGACGGAGGGCTATCAGGGGCCGTCAGCTCAGCTGGGGGAGGGAGGGAGGGCTCTCCGGGTCCGTCAGTTAGGGAGGGAGGGCTCTGGGGCCGCCAACTCGGCTGGGGGAGGGAGGGCTCTCCGGGTCCGCCAGCTCGGCTGGGGAGGGAGGGCTCTCCGGGTCCGTCAGTTAGGGAGGGAGGGCTCTGGGGCCGCCAACTCGGCTGGGGGAGGGAGGGCTCTCCGGGTCCGCCAGCTCGGCTGGGGAGGGAGGGCTCTCCGGGTCCGTCAGTTAGGGAGGGAGGGCTCTGGGGCCGCCAGCTCGGCTGGGGGAGGGAGGGCTCTCTGGGTTCGCCAGCTCGGCTGGGGGAGGGAGGGAGGGCTCTCCGGGTCCGTCAGTTAGGGAGGGAGGGCTCTGGGGCCGCCAGCTCGGCTGGGGGAGGGAGGGCTCTCTGGGTTCGCCAGCTCGGCTGGGGGAGGGAGGGAGGGCTCTCCGGGTCCGCCCTGACAGGCCCGGCGGCACCCAGAACCGGTCCGGCCCCGAGCCGCCTGCCCTCCGTCTGACGGGAATGCTAATCAGCTGACGGCGGCCCGCTCTGCAACAGTGACAGGGACGGGCCGGGCGGACCGGCCGGCCAGTCGGCGCAGTGACGCCCGTCGGCCCTCACTGGCGTCATGGGGTGCACGGTTTTCAGGAAATAATGCGTGGATGGAGAATGAAATGTTGGAATTTTCATTGTCACTTAAGGTGCTTCTTTCAGTGATTTATTACGATGTGCCGAACCTGAATTTGTCTGCTCAGTTTTACGTCTCCTCCCGCCGGTGAGCAATTCTGAGGCGCTCATAGATCCGACAGATCGCATAGGCACTAGACTCGACTCGACTCGCTAAACTCATATGTCGCCGTGACTGGACCAAGTGGACGGAATGTGTCGCGGTAGGTGCTGTCTGTTTGCGGGCGTTCGGCTCCGTTGGTCTCCGCTCGTCCGCTGGCGGTAGCTCCGTGCTCCGTGACCGGCGTGTAGTGTATGTTTTATTTATACGGACGCTGTCGGACGGTCGCCCTCTGGCACTGTGCCCAGATCGGTCGGCCAGACGGCTGTCTGGGCGGGCCGGACCGGGCCGCCAGCTGATTGTCTCACAGCCGGGTGCTGTGATACGGGACGAGGTGGTTCACATGACCGATTGCATGGAGAGACACCTTGTGGCTTGTGGGGTGGTCTGGGGCGGAGTCGCATTTAGGGATCACACCTCCTCGAAGGGGCGGCTTAGAAGCCCACCATCCTCGTGGGGGCGGTTTGGAAACACCTCTTCGTGGGGGTGGAGTCGCATTGAGATATGCCATAACTACTTCACATTGCAGCAGCTTCGTCGAACCTTTAGCTTTAGTCATGGAGTCATTTTCTGTCTGCACGAGGTTCTCTCCGTAAAAAGGTGCAGCATTGAGCATAATGCCCTGCCAGCTGAAATGCCTACCTGGCCGTGGTTTTCGTTGGCTGCTCGACCTTATAAAAAAAAACTCCAGCCTCCTGCCTCACACGAAATTATGGGCTGCTGATGCCTGGCTTACCATCATAGATGTACTTACATTGCCTGGTTTTCCACCTACCATCACGTGTATTGCCGGTCACTCATTGACTACTTACCACCATATGCGCTGCCCCGCTGCTGGTTTACTTACCATCATATACATGGCCCCGCTGGGCATGACTGGCTTCAGCCCCTTGATCTCCGACAGCCGCTTGAAGGCGATCTCGGCATTGGCCTGAAAAGAGACTGAGCGTCAGACGGGAGACATTCCAGTCACACCGCGAACCGTAGCGCTGAGTTTCAGCTGGTCTTTTAGTGGCGGCCTTGCTGGCCAGAGAGCGGGCCCGCAGTGTTTCAGCGCTCTGTTCACGAAGCCCGTCGTTGACCGCCGCCTTCGGGCACGGTAGTGTGTGACATGTTGTTTGTCCCGACCACCCACCCTCGCGATCAGCCAATGGCCTGCCAATGTAATGACCTGTGCCTAGTGCAGTCTGTACTGCACCTACTGTTTGAAATGCTCCAGCTGAGTTGATGCACCATAGCTGTATCTCGGCACGGCGTAGTTGGCGTGTTTCGTTGGTATAAACGCTGCCGGCTCCTGCGTTTCGGCCGTCTCGGATCTGACTGCTCTGTCTATCAGTGAACTGCGGCCGGTGGGAAGGCCGGCCCTCTAAGCCCTCTAAGTTCAGATACCGCCGGGTAACCGAACGCTAATCACTCTGCACTTTGCCGTCATGCTGAAAGACACGTCCTCAGCGCAGGTGTTCGCACATCCTAATCCTATACCTACCTTAACGCTGGGTCTGTTCGACCTTCAAGTTATTGTCTGTCCAGAAGCCTTTAATAATACCCTGTCAACTGGCCTTCCTAATCTGCCGGCTTCGCATTTAGCGCACAGATCACATGACCCGACGCTGTCCTGGCGCGTAATTTTAACCAGGCTCCTTCAGTACAGGCTATCCCCTCCCCCTCAATGCAGCTCTTACAGCCAAGTCGCTCATCAGGTCTCCTCTTTCCTAAACGCCATAGCTGAAGCGGTGTCCGTTTAGCATTGGCTTACTCACACATGTCCTCCGGTTTTTGACGCCAATCCGATTATATGAGCACACACCTGCCCATCTGTCGGGTCAAATTAAAGCCCCCCTGCCACTCCTCCCTCCTGCCGTTCGGGGCGGTAATCCGAGACGCGGGGGGGGGGGGGCGCTGAGAGGGATGGACACAGCCCATGGACGGCGCTAGGGCCGGGGCTCGGCGGCCACACCGAACAGTGACTGCCGGGCAGCGAGCGCCCGCGCACTGCGCGCCGGCGCCGCGGCCGCGTCCCCGCGTCCCAGATGCGGCCTTTGATAGCGGCCCGCCGACCGGTGACGTCACCGGTCACACCAGCGGTGACGTCACGGCGGCCACGGGAGCGAGGCCGAGCGGGGACTTCGGTGAACCGGCACGTGCATCCAGAGAAACGGCTCGAACGGCCAGAAAAATAAACTGGATCCACGGTTTTATCCTGAAAAGTAACGACCCCTTGCGTGTTAAGGGACCTGTTTCAGATGTAGTCAGCATTGGTGCATCTATACCTAATCCAGCAGAATGTCCAATTTTTGCATTTACCTTAATCATTTTTGAAGCTAACATGACCAGCTGTTGTCCCGTTGCACTGGGTGTGCACGTGTCTGCGGTGGGGGAGTTGGAGCGTTGTCTCTCTCTCTCACCTGCACTAGCTGCAGCGTGGCGCTGAAGAACTCGGCCGGCGTGCCGCTCAGGATCGTCGGCAGCGCCGCCTGCACGAGCGTGTTGGCGCCGATCGTGCGCGTCGAGAGGTTCTGCAGGCCGACACGCACCTGCCGCCGGACAGCCGTCAGGTCGGGTCAGATAAGGGGTTACCGAGCAGCCGGCAGGGCAGGTCAGGGGTCACCGGGCATCGCGAGCGGTTGGTCGGAATAACCACAGCTATTGATCAGGTGTTAGACGAATTTCGACAGCACTCAGTCTTGAATGTTCACTCAACAGTAATATCTTGCTTTGTGAGGGCGGACTTTCAAAACGCAAGAGGCGTCGCTTACTTTCTCCAATTCAGTCTTGTGATCTGCATGAGATTCGACATGCATGTTTTTAACTATCCCAGTACACTCACAAAGGTCTATACTGTGGCTCGACGCAGTCCCTCTTTGACATTCTGTGGAGCGGAGAAGCTTTGGACTTACGTCTTTGAGGACGTGGTTTTGGTCGTGGACAGTGATCCAGCCCATTCTCCAGCCGGGCACCAGGAACCTGAGGGGAAAACAGCACCTGGTTGGCAACACGGCTCTCCTCACCACCGCCGCTCAAACTCGTCTCAAGCGTCTCATCTGTTCTAATAATCACTCCATCTCCATAAGAGCTGTCTAGTATCCCCAGGTTTAGCAGCCGCCCGTCCCACGGCTCCTGCTGGGAGCCGTTCTGCTCGGCTGACGGTCAGGGGACCTTGCTCCGCCGCGCCGGCGGCCCGGGGCGGTCCGGACATATCCGTTAATCAGTGTTGCACTGTCGTATGGGGCGTTCCACGACAAATCGACAAGTGCCCTGCACCCTCATATTTTATTTTTTGCTTAACCCGCGCCCTGGTGTGGGTCTGAGCCACCTTCGCCCTGGTGGGGGGGGGGCCAAAATGACCCCCCCCCGTCTAACTCGAAAACGAAGAGGGCTAGGAAGACGCGGAAAAAAGCAAACGAAAGCCCATAACAAGTACGTTCGAAAGTATTTCGGTCATTTTTTCGCTAAGGTCAATATTGAGGTCGCTAGAGGTCATCATAGGTCAAATTTCAGTGTTTTCGGTGTTGCCGGACATATTCCGCTGTAGCTCGGAAACTAGAAGAGCTAGAGAGCCGCGGAAAAAAGCAATCGATAGCTCTTTTCAAGCTCTTTCGCCAAGGTTCGTCAGATTTGACCTCAGCTCAACGGTTTGGCCTACAGAGGTCATGCAAGGTCAACTTGGCAAATTTCGTTGAAAATGTTTTTAACTATAGCATGCATTCACGAGAAAATAGAGAAACGATTCATGCACCATCGTGCTTGGCTCGTCGAGACGCGTCGAATGATATATAGTTTGACCTCGAAAGGTCATTTTGAAAATTTGACCTCAGGTCAAGGTCATGACCTTACCGAAATAGGTCATGCTGCATATCATTCGATCCGCATTGACGAGACAAACACGATAAACGTCGAACGGAGTCTCTATCTCTATTCAATAACAAGTAAGTGCAGAAAAACCGCTGGTGACCTCTGGTGACCAGGGAGATGACCTAGCGTGACCTCAGCGAGGTCACAAGCAAATGGTTTCACATGGGCTGTGATTTGCTGACCCAAGACACTTCAATAACGAAATATAGGAACAATCACGCCCGATTTAGCTGAAAAACAACTACTTTTCGATTCTCCCATTGACTTATAATGGGGAGCAGCGATGACCTGACCTGACCTTAGGTCACATTTATAAAAAATCCGAGATAGCCATTTTGTAGAGCTGGGTGACATCTTCAAGTACTGTAAATTTTACATCGATCGGATAAAAGCTGTGCCTTTGAGAGAGCTTTGAACTTTTTTAGAGGTGGTGTCAGTTTTGGTGACCTTGTGACCTGACCTGACCTGACCCGAACCCCCCAAAAAAGGACATGATGTAAAAATGTTGAATAAACAGCTATGCAAAGTTTCAGGGCGCTAACTCAAGTGGTTTCTGAGTTATCGCTGAAAAACCACAGGGGGGGGGGCCAAAATGGCCCCCCCCCCACCAGGGCGAAGGTTAAAATTGGTCTAATGGGTTGTGATGGGCGGGGAAGCCAGCTGTGGCAAGGATTTTTTTTCTTCGAACAACGGTTTCCGAGATATAGCCTCGGGCAATTCTTGGAGTTTGCGCTGCAGCCCTATGTTTGGCGGCCTATAACTCAGAAACTATTAGTTTTTTCACGATAAAACTTCATATGGCTCAACTCACAATCAACCAACAAACATTTTGGCCATCTCGGATTTTCAATTTTTGAAAATTTTGATCACGTGACCTTTTGTCCTATTTTTCAGAGTGACCTTGATATTTTCCCCACTGAAAGTTGCAATTTTGTCTGATGACGATTAAAGCCTTATCAATTGTCATTCATATGCGATAATAAGAAAAGTGGTTATCGCCCTGCGTTGACCTCAGGTCAGGTCATTTTTATGACCTGTCCATTATTACGAGCGGGAGCGACAGCGAGATCTCGAGAATAAAGCAAGATAGCGACAAGCGGTAAACGGTAAAGGGTACACACGGATAAGGTCTATAATTTTTACTGAGGTCATTTTTAGGTCAGGTCAAAGATGACGTCACAGGAGCTATCAGGAAGTTAAAATAGCGGCACTATACATATATATGAAGTTTTTCTCGAATAACTCTCAAGGTATCCCAGCTAGGAACAAACTAATAGCACCATCGTGATCCTCTCGTCGATCCGCATCGAAACATATGTATGTTGACCTCGAAAGGTCGAAAGGTCAAAAGTTGACCCTAGGTCACGTGATCGAAGGTCAACTTTTGACATTTCGACCTTTCGAGGTCAACATACATATGTTTCGATGCGGATCGACGAGAGGATCACGATGGTGCTATTAGTTTGTTCCTAGCTGGGATACCTTGAGAGTTATTCGAGAAAAACTTCATATATATGTACAGTGCCGCTATTTTGACTTCCTTTTAGCTCCTGTGACGTCATCTTTGACCTGACCTGAAAATGACCTCAGTAAAAATTATAGACCTTATCCGTGTGTACCCTTCACCGTTTACCGCTTGTCGCTATCTTGCTTTATTCTCGAGATCTCGCTGTCGCTCCCGCTCGTAATAATGGACAGGTCATAAAAATGACCTGACCTGAGGTCAATGCAGGGCGATAACCACTTTTTTTATTATAGCATATGAATGACAATCGATAAGGCTTGAATCGTCATCAGACAAAATTGCAACATTCAGTGGGGAAAATATCAAGGTCACTCTTCGAAAAATAGGACAAAAGGTCACGTGATCAAAATTTTCAAAAATTGAAAATCCGAGATAGCCAAAATGTTTGTTGGTTGATTGTGAGTTGAACCATATAAAGTTTTTATCGTAAAAAACCAATAGTTTCTGAGTTATAGGCCGCCAAACATAGGGCTGCAGCGCGAACTCCAGGAATTGCCCGAGGCTATATCTCGGAAACTGTTGTTCGTAGAAAAAAATCCTTGCCACAGCTGGCTTCCCCGCCCATCACAACCCCTTACACCAGTTTTCAACGAATAATAAAATATGAGGGTGCAAATTTAATTTTTTATTTGTCGATTTGTCGTGGAACGCCCCGTATGTAATGTAACCAGCTCTGTATCTATCGGCCCGCAGCGCTACTAAACGTCTCACCGCCGCAGCCCAGCCGCGGGCCACCAAACCTGTTCCGTGTGGCCAGGGACGGCCATGGAAGGCGGGGCGCCGGGCGCCGCGCCGGGCATGTCATTAGCGTGGGGCGTCACCGCCACGACGGCACGGGGTCGCGGAAAAGTACACCCCTGTCCTGGCCACGTGCTCCCAGAGCGGAGGGAGCCGGGTCTGGTCGCCGGCCGCGGTCCACTGGCACTGGTGATGGCCGGTAGGCCGTCTGGACAGGCGCCACAGCATAGGTTCGACCGGTCACCGACGGCGTGACGTGGCGTGGCCCCGGTCCATCTGGGCCCCGGCGTCTGCTAGCACGCCTGGGCTTGGGCATTCGGGATTACTGGAACCATGGAATCGCGCTCTGAATACTTAACCCGCGCCCGGCTGGGGGTCCTGGATTTCCACGCCCTGATGGGGAGGGGGGGGGGGGTGTTTGAACACCCCCCCCCCCTGTAACTCGGCTCCTGGGCCACGTAGCGATACGCGGAAGGCGGCGTTCGAAAGAGCGTCAAAAATAATGACGAAATCACTTCGGTCAATTTTTTGGTCAGGTCAAAGGTCAGGTCACCAGAGGTCATTGAAGGCAAAATTTCGACGATTTCCAGGTCGAATGTCGAAAATTTCCAAGAAGCCAACGCATAACTCGAGAACCAATAGAGCTACAGCGCCGCGGAAAAGCGCATTCGATAGCCCTATTAAAGCCCTTTCTGAGTAATGCTCTCAGATTTGACCTAGCGTCAACGGTTTTGCCTGCAGGGGGCAAAAACTGCAAAAATAGCCGATTTTTTTTTTCGGAAACAGTTTTTCTGCAATAACTTTTGACCCTAGCCTTGTACGAGCTTTCTTTTACCGGCATTGTGTTCCTCTCGTAAGACGCATCGAATGAACTATAAGTTGACCTTGAAAGGTCAACTTGAAAATTTGACCTCAGGTCAAGGTCATGACCTGACCGGAAAGGGTCATGTTGCATATCAGTCGATCCGTATCGTTGAGCTTAACACATTTAAGGCGTTTTCATCGCTCTAGCATGCCTCTATCAAAAGTTATTTGCGAAAAACTGTTAGATACTATTCGTGACCTAAGATGACCTCAGGGCATAAACAGGGGTCACGGACACTATTTTCATGAGTGTGTCTAAACCACTTGTAATTCGGTGTTTGGGAGTGTTTATAATGTCTTTTGTCCAAAAGAGGCGCATTTCAATTTTATCCCATTGACTTATAATGGGGAGGTCGCAAAATTGACCTGACCTTAGGTCATCGATATCAAAATTCTGAGATATACATTTTGTACATGCTATTGCTCTTAGCAATCTCTGAAAGTTTCAAAGCAATCGGTCACTCGGTGTAGCTATGACAGACATTGAAACTTTTTATGAGGTGAGGTCACTTCAAGTGACCTGGTGACCTGACCTTGAATGACCTTGGTCTGAAATTTTCACAACATGTGTAGAATTGATGTATGATAAGGTGTACCAAAAACGGCGTTCGCGAAAAAACACAAGGGGGGGTGTTCAAACACCCCCCCCCCCCCCCCCAGCAGGGCGCGGGTTAAAGAAGGCATGCATTCCAGTTCTTCTAATCTATGATATGTCAATCGACCATCGGTTCGGGAATATTACGCTTGTGTTCTGCGTACCACTGCGCCAGTTTTTGTTTCTTCTGCTTACCTCCGCCCCTTAGGTATTGGCCCAGTAACCCGGTCCAGTGCCCTTCCCTGCCCTTCCCCCTCCTCAGACGCGCCGTTTGGTGATCCCGCCTCTCCCTCTCCCTCTCCCTCTCCCTCAGACGCGCCGTTTGGTGATCCCGCCTCTCCCTCTTCCTCTCCCTCTCCCTCTCCCTCAGACGCACCGTTTGGTGATCCCGCCTCTCCCTCTCCCTCTCCCTTTCCCTGAGACGCACCGTTTGGTGAGCCCGCTGCAGGAGAGCACGGGCACCTCGTCCGTCAGGGATGCGATGTAGTAGAACTCACTCTCCGGAAACACCTGTGCCAACACAGACAGAGAGCGCGGCCTTAGGGCACCTCACCCGCGGCGGCGTAGTCCATCGTATATTTGTAATAAAAAACTTCACAGTTTGAATGATAGAAAGCAAGTAAAGATTAGGTATTTCTAAAAAATAATTACATTGTTAAGATGCATACATCTTTTTTTAAATATGGATATTAATAAGGATATAGAAAACATATTCTCAAGCTGCTGATCAACTTGTAAGCTTTGGCTTTACTCGATTAGTTCGATATAGTAGTGTCAATCGATATACTCCTTTGATAGAAGCCCATCCCTCCCAAATTGTCCGTCATTCTGCGGGTAGCTGGCGGTCCGGTCCAGCTCCGGTCGCGCAGCTGTCGGACTGCAGCCGCCGGTCCGAGCCGCCCCATCTGCCGCCCCATCTGCCGCCCCAGCTGCCGTCCGCGGCACTCACGAAGTGGTTGTAGATCTCGTCGGCGATGATGGGCACCCGGCGGCGGGCGGCGATCTCCAGGATGCGCCTCAGGTGCTCCTTGCCGAACACCGAGCCGCACGGGTTGCTCGGGTTGTTGACGACGATGGCGCGCGTGCCCGAGTCTATCTGGGCGTCCAGCATCTCCAGGTCGGCCTCCCAGCCGCGCTCCGGCTGCCGGCCCACAGGGACAGGGGACGGGGGAGGGTTATTGGTCCGTGTGGCGATATGTGCCGGCTGTGGGCTGACAGGGATAGGGGACGGGGGAGGGTTATTGGTCGGTGTGGCGATATGTGCTGGCTGTGGGCCGACAGGAACAGGTATTGGTCTGTGTGGTGGTATTTACTAGCCGCGCTCCGAATGCGGGGAACACTGGCAATGCCAGGAAGTTATTTGTCAGTGTGGTGGTGTTGTGGCATTCTCATGTCTTCTTCGCTACACTTTATGGTGGACACCCTGTTACGGGTAAGTGCATTCGGTTACACAGTACACGTTCATGTATACGGCTACATACATATGCGGACTCATACACTGTACACATACGGCTACACACATGTATAATGCCACCAGCTCTGTCTCTGAGCCCGTCAGCTCTGTCCCCGGACCCACCATCCGCCCTGTCCGTTTGGCTCACCAGGAGGTCGTAGAACTTGGTCTGTATGCCGATGCAGTGCGCCAGCGTCTGGTAGAGCGGAAATCCGGGTCGCGGCACCAGAATGTTGTCGCCGGCGTTGGCCAATACGGTGATGCACGCCTCCAGCGCCGACGAGCAGCCGCTGCAGATGTACACGTCCTGCGGCCAGTGGGATGGGATCAGAGCAGCGCCTGATGGGGCTGGGTCAGAACAGCGTCCGGCGGGGCGAGTCAGATGGACACATATTGCGACCGGAGGGACTGGTCAGGTTGGTCCATCGTAAAGGGTCATGCTAGGGTCAGCGGTTTGCGCCTCAGTTCAGCGGACACCTTACGCTCGAATACTGGATGTTGAAGGGCCTAGTCGTTTGGTTATGATATAAATGAATAATGTAATCATAAGCATAACCTTTGTTTGTCATCGCCATACCATTTTCTTGGTACATTAACGGCGATTTTGTGCCACATAAAAAAAAACAGAGGGCACTTCCTCCTCACCAATACAGGAATGAGTGCGGTAAGAGTGGCCCGTACCTTAGCCGAGACCCGGAACTCTGGCGTCGACGTGTACTGTGCGATCGCCTCCTTGGCGGTGGCCGTCCCTGTGAAAATGGCACCGTGTAACACTCACCGCATATACATGCCAGGAAGGACGCATACCAAAGTGATGAGGGCCGCGTCACATACAGGCGGAGCATACAGGCCAATTCTAATTAGGTATGTACAGGGTGGCGCCGGTAAATAACCACAAATTTCAAACCTGTGTTACGAGGAAACTGCTTTGTGCAGAGCAATAATTTTTTGCATTCATGTTCCATGCTTTATGTAAATTGTTGTCCATAGCAAAAGGGAACGTTGCAGCTGAAGATGATAACGGAAGAGTTGAAAAGACACGCGGTCATTGTGGCGCTTCACGCCGGCAGCGAGGCTCCCGAGGTCGCCAACTTCCTCAAGGTCGACAGAAGCCATGATTATAAAGTCGAGCGGAGCTTGGATGAGTCTGTGGGCGACGTCCCGTCTGTGGCAAAGCGGAAGAAACATCCCCGACGATCTGATGCCGTCGGAGACGACGATTTCATTGCCAAAGTCGAGCACATCGTCGACGATGACACGACGTCGACGTCACCGTCGATGACGGTGACGTCGTTAAACCCTAGATCGACCGAGTGGCTGAGGAAGGCCCTATGTGTTCCAACAAGACTCTGCACCCGCCCAAAAGGCCAGGGTGACGCAGGAGTGGATGAGCGGCAACGTGCACAGTCACATCACGTCCGAGTTCTGGCCGCCAAACTTCCCGTACCTGAACCCGCTCGACTAAAACGTGTGGGGCGTAGTCGAGAGGGACACTAACAAACACCCACACAACAATATTGACTCTCTGAAGTCAGCCATCAAGCAGATGATGGTCAAGATGGACAAGACCATGCTGACCAAGGCCTGAGCCCGGTTCAGGCCGCGCATCGAAGCCGTCATCGACGCGGAGGGGGATTCATCGAGTGAAGTGTGTTCGACAGGTCGCCATCAGTCACTCCAGTTCCAAGCTTCCATCCAATGTACTGACTTTTGCCAAAAAATTAATGTTTTGTGTGGAGCACATATTGTCTTCATTTATCGGCGCCACCCTGTAATATGTAGGTAGGGGAAGTTGGGGCAATGCCGGAGTTGGGGCAAAGCCGAAATTCGAGATATTTCTAAAACCGTACGACATGGATGCCACGTCTCAGTGATGCTCTGAAGCTTAAGTGACTACAATTATCGCATGTTTGTTACAAGTTGTCATTTGGAATACTTCGGCTGTGAGGGCGCCAAAAGCGTTTTCAAGGTACGTTTCCCTTGTACTATATGCGCCTTTGAAGCTGCATTTCTTACTCATTATGCTACCGTTTGTCTGGCCAATTCGGTCAAGTAATCTTTAGCATGTCTTTGCATAAGTGTGCTGCCTATTTGAAATTTATACAGCACGTTTAAATGTTATGGGCCTGCAAATGAAAGTATGGCTGGCTGGGGTAATGCCGAAAACGTGCAATTACGCACGTTAAAGCACGCTACGTGGACTTTACTGCTGTAGAATAGCAACGCGTATTTTTAGTCAGACAAATTACACTTTCAGCCGGCACAACAGCTTGTTACCTATAAGGAATGATTTACCTAGCATTTTTTTTTTATTATATCACACAATTATAACTTCCAGTGTGCACCAAGCGTCCTCAAGCTCTTAAAACGCGTGTCAGCTTTGATGAATTTTGGATAAAGTTTGAGATAAATTGGCAAAACATCAATGTCTGCATTCCTCGTAGATCATTTATCCCATTTTCGGCTTTCCCCGCAGTCCGGGGCAACGCCGAAAAAGTCAGTTCTTTGATATTTTTAGTTTTTGCGCTTAACGGTATGCGAATTCATCAAATGCGCCTGGTATGTTTGAAAGACAAAAGACTGGCCTCTCGAATGACGCCAACAAGAATAGCTTATGTTGTCTACCTTGCGTGCTACGGGCGTCAGAAAAAAAGTATTCGGCGTTCCCCCAACTTCCCCTATATTGAACAATGCATTTCAGTTAATGACTGTAGATGCCCCTTGCTGGCACTTTACATATATTCATTTTCGAACAACATATAGGGTTGTAATAATTGGCACTGCAATATAAATAGAATGTGTTCGAGTGGACCACCCAGCAGGTCTGGGCGGACCACAATCGGTCTGGGCGGACCACCCAGCAGGTCTGAGTGGACTGATATCGTCACCAGTCGCCACTCACCGGAGCTGGGCGCATAGCCGTTGAATTTGATGGCCTGGACCGCCTCGACGACGGCGTCCACCACCACCTTGGCCGGCTCGAGGTTCCCGAACACGGTGGGGTCACCTGAATAGGAGTCAGGATCAGCGGCATGTCACATTCAACCACTGATCAGATGTGAACAGTTACACGTATGACATTTGTCTGTTTAGGGAAATTATGGGTGATTGGACCACAACAAGGCCGATTGGGGGCTCCTGATTTTTTAGATTGCTCCGCTCTCAAGCAGGAAAGGTACAACAGCCTCCAGAACGTTCAACGATTATTTGCCCCAGCATATGGCTGTATTTTGTAATTTGCTTTATTAAGTTATTGGGCCGATAATCCCCAAAATATTGAAATTATGCGTTTTAAATCTACTATCCCAATAACCCTTCCTTTTTAGCCTGGAATCTTAGCATGTGTGGATACTGCTGCTCTACAAAATAGGCATTATAGTTGCTCTTTTCTGGGCTGTGGCGAAACAGACATATCAATGAAATAGATCTGTCCTGCGTGAGCTCACACCCATGAACCCATGAGCATTAGGGCGCTCTCGGAATATTGACACGTCTTTTCGTCCTACGTTATAAGTTTATTACGTATTTCGGCCCTGGGTGTCTGAAGCGCAGTCCGTCGGCTGGCGGCTGGGCCCGCGGTGGCGCCGGCCGGCGCGGCGGTAGGTAGGTAGACTGTCCCGCAGGACACCCAAGCGCTGCGGCACAGCCGGCCGCCCGCCGCTCCGGCCGGCAATGCATTAACCCGCGCCGTGCTGGGGGGCGTTTTTACGCCCCCCCTCAGGTTTTTCACGAATATCTCAAAAACGGCGGCGCGCAGCGCCGCCGTTTTTGGTACACGTGTTCCTACATCATTTCCGCACATGTTGTGAAAATTTCAGACCTAGGCCGTTCAAGGTCAGGTCACCAGGTCACGTCAAGTGACCTTACCTCAGAAAAAGTTCAAAGGCTCGCTATAGCTACACCGACTGAACGATCACTTTGAAACTTTCAGCGATTGATATGAGTAACAGTATGTATAAAATGTATATCTCGGATTTTTGATATCTGTGACCTAAGGTCAGGTCAATTTTGCGACCTCTCCATTATAAGTCAATGGGAGAAAATTGAAATGCGCCTCTTTTGGACGAATATCGTTCAAAACGCTCTCAAACATCGGTTCATAGGTAAACATGACACACTGAATAGGAAAAATGCACCTGTGACCCCTCTGTGTGCCCCTGAGGTCATCTCAGGTCATGAACGGTCGCCAGCAGTTTTTTGGCTATAACTTTTGATAGAGACGTGCTAGAGCGGTGAAAACACGTCAGATGTGTTCAGCTCGACGATACGGATCGACTGATATGCAACATGACCCTTTTCGGTCAGGTCATGACCTTGACCTGTGGTCAAATTTTCAAAATGACCTTTCAAGGTCAACGAATAGTTCATTCGACGCGTCTCGACGAGAGGAACACGATGCTGGCAAAAGTAATGTCATGGCGCTTATGAGTCAAAAGTTATTGACGAAAAAACGTTTTTCGTAAAAACGGCTATTTTTGGAGTTTTTGCCCTCTGGAGGCTAAACCGTTGACCTGAGGTCAAATCTGAAAACATTACCCAGAAAGGTCTGTAAAAGGGCTATCGAATGCGCTTTTCCGCGGCGCTGTAGCTCTATCGGTTCTCGAGATAGCCGTTGGCAGTTTCCAAAATGTTGAAATAGTCAACATTTTACCTTTGGTGACCTCTGGTGACCTGACCTTTGACCTGACCCAAAAAATGACCGGAGTGTTTTCGTCCTTATTTTTGACGCTCTTTCGATTGCCGCTTACCGCGTGTCGCTACGTGACCCAGGAGCCGAGTTAGACGGGGGGGCGTGAAAACGCCCCCCCCCCCCCAGCACTCGGCGGAAAGTTCAGGCCACCAGCACGGCGCGGGTTAACAGGTGATTTGTCGCTATACTGTCCGGGTCAGTCTATCGCTGAGATACTGGCTTCTCAGCTGTTGCTAACTACAGCATTTTAGGCGCAATTTCAAAAAGTGAAGACCAAATTCAAAACGATCACGTGCATTTCGAACGTAAACTTTTTGAATTTGGGCTTTAACTTTTTGAAATTGCACCTAAAAAGGTGTAGAGGCTCGATGAAAGGGTGAAGCACATTTGGATGAGTACCTATTTATTATAAATCTAACAAATGGAACAGCTTTCGAGCTGAATGAACAAGCGTCTCGAAGCATTTTCGTCAGCCGCTCCACTGTCCCAACCCCAATCACGTGATTCAGTCGGCATCCGAAGGCAGCGGCCCTCCCCATGTCATATCACCAAACACGGCGGCGGGGTGGCTGGCGGGCGGGCGGGTCTGATTTTACGCAGCCACCGGCCCACCAGCGCCGGGGGTCAGCCAAGGCCGGCCGTTCGTCTCCCCGCTGGCCGCAGGGTGTTCACCTTCAGTTGCGCAACTGGTCGATAGAGCGCAAACAGGACCAATCACAGGCGGCCGATAGCCAGCTGGCATGGAGGACGCGGGATGTGCGCAGATCCGGGGGACAGAGCAATGAAAACAAGCGCCATACTTCCGAATAACACTCACTGTGATATAATGAAAGTAAAGATATGCAAATGCAGCTCTGTCCCCTGCACTCTATCTCGGCGCGACTGTGGTAAGCTCTACATCGATAATGTGACTCCAGTCACGATTCCGGCTGGCTCGGGGCCTCTCTGACCTTGGGTGGTGTGATGAGGCCGCAGCTCTGTCAAGGTAGCTGCTCGGCGCCTCGGGCCCTGGTAGGGACGCCAGGCGCCCTGCTGGCGGCCGGCCAGTGACGGGTTCTCACGGGCCGTTACGCTGCAGCTCCAGCCGGTCTCGTCGGGACACGTTAGGTATGTACACCCAGCGGCGTGGCTGGGACACGGTGAACTCGGCGGCACTTCAGCCGACAGCCCGATAAGCAGAGGGGCCGGCGGCGCCACATGACGACGGGCTTATGGGCGCCGCCGGCCAGACCTGCAGCGGACGGCCGAGTCGGCCGAGATGGCCTCCAGTGGACGGTCGAGTCAGGTCAGGAGTGGGACGGCCGCCCGGCGTATCGTCCGAGTCAGGAGTGGGACGGCCGGCCGGCGTATCGGTCGAGTCAGGAGTGGGCCGGCCGCCCGGTGTATCGGCCGAGTCAGGAGTGGGACGGCCGCCCGGCGTATCGGCCGAGTCAGGTCAGGTGTGGGCCGGCCGCCCGGCGTATCGGCCGAGTCAGGAGTGGGCCGGCCGCCCGGTGTATCGGCCAAGTCAGGAGTGGGAGTTGGGCCGCCCGGCGTATCGGCCGAGTCAGCTCGGTATCGGCCCGATCGTGCCTACTGCGTCGCTAGGGACGGTCGTACCGGGAGAGAGAGAGGGACGGAGGGAGAGAGGCAGATAGGGAGGGGAGAGAGATGGTTAAGGAAACTCGGGAGAGTGGAGATTGGTGAATGGTGATCTGTGTATTTGGTTAAGATTTATTGTTTTGAGTAGAAACTCGATGCATTCATCATACATACATGATGGGATGCGAACTCGTGGCATAAGTGCTCCTTTCCTGCGCAATGCAGTCGCCGGGAGTGGCGGCACAGCTAGGCGGTGCTACGTTTCTGTTACATAGATGCAGTCTCCCCGCCCCGCCCCGCCCGCCGCGCTACCTTTCTGTGCTGCTAATGCAGTCACCACGCTCAGCAGATGACGCGATATGACAATTGATACCGCTACGATACTTTTATGTAAGACCGACCTTAGCAGACATTTGACACCGTTCGTGCGCTCATATAAATCTCCTGTCTTTGAGTTTACCCTGTCATATCGCTGATTGTCCTAGATCCACTGTCGACTGCACTGAAGAGGGGATGGGCATTGGGCCATGCCAGCCATTACCAAGCCGGGCAGAGCCGATGGCCTTCGAAATATATTCTATCTTAACACCACGCTTGTAGCAGCGCATGTAAAGAAGTGGACACCCGAGTATCGGTGTCTACGCGTTTGGCGGCTGCCCTCTCCTTTCAGCGCGCTCGGCTGGCTGGGCTACATGACTGGCGCTGAACAGCTCTCCGAAGTGCCTACTGTCTCTGGCTGTCGGCCGCTGCAGCGGCCCGGGGACGGGCAGTTGGCACTAAACACGGCTCCGTCACCAGTGAAATAATGACTTGAATCTGTCCTAGCAGTGCCTTTGGAATGATCGCCTACAGTTCTCCTGTTTGTGAGGTGTGCCATTGCACGATGAGATCGTACTCTGATATCCCCTGTATGGTCCATACGTCATAGCGTTCCTAGTTGTTACTGATCAGTTATCATCCCTCGCCACCGCAGCACTGCTCACCAACATGTCTCACAGCACCGGGTGTGGGTTCAGCTCACAGAACCAGTCGCTACTCACCGATGGAGTGGGCGATCATCTGTTTATCCGGGTGTAAGCTGTCTCGCAGCACTGGTCACTACTTACCGATGGAGAGGGCGATCATCTGTTTGTCCGGATGTAAGCTGGCTCACAGCACCTACTCACCGATGGAGAGGGCGATCATCTGTTTGTCCGGGTGCGGGTTCAGCTCGATCGTGTCCACGATTCGTCGGATCGGGTTGATCGTGTTCCGGGCAATATCCGACATGGGCACGTGCCACCCGGACCGGGGCTTCATGGCGGCGGCCGGGTCACAGAGGTCACCAGAGGTCACAGCGGCGGCACGGCGGTTCACCGGAGGGGACCGGGTGTCAGAGCGGCTGGCGCACGTGCGCGCCGCTCAGGCTGAGCTGGGGAGACGGTGTTTGGAAGGACGGTATCTGCCTGGAGCTGGGAGATGATGGGATGTGTTGGGTCCGGTCAGTCAGTCCACCGTACTGCTCCCGAGTGGCCCCGCACGTTTTCTCGGTGGCTGCTCTGAGAGGTTCTGGAGTTTTCCCGCCGTTCACAATCCGTCTGGATACGCTGGTGAGAGTGCGGCCGTCACTGCTGGAGCCGTCAGTGCGCACGTGAGACTGGCACGCCGCGGCCGGCAGGGGCCCGGCCGGCGCCGCGCCGATTGGCCCAGATAAGGGTGTGTCGGCGGGGCCGGGCGGTGATTGGCCGGCGCGGCGGGCCGATCGGCGGCGGCACGGGACCGGTCCGGTCCGCAGACGGCCTGGGGCGGTGGGCCCGGCCCGGCCCGGCCCGCTCACCGCTGCGCAGAAGGGGAGATGGAAACCCAGATACGGGGAGACGGCTGACGGCCGCGTCAGAACGGCGCAGAAACGCGGATAGACTCCGATCGCAGGCGCCCATCTCAGCCGGCATATGTGGCGAAAATGACGGAATGCGACGCTAGGGGACCACAGCTCTGACACAGCTCCGACTGTATAGTTGCTCAAAACTCGTTCATGACACTCCCGAACTCTTTGGCAGTGGGTGACTGCAGGACCGGCTGATGAAACTCAGATGACGAAATGCATCAGCGGTGGCTGTTTCCTACAGCCATGGGCGTCGGTGACCAGTGTTAGTGCTGACCGTGCCGCTCGTACTGCAATAAAATAAAACTATCTCTGATCCATCAGAACAAATGTTTTTATTATACATTTATCGTCGATGTCTCGTAGCACTGCATCCCGTTGCCAACTTTTGTCACTCTAAAGAATACATTTTCAGGCTTTATTTCTGGAGTATTTGCTAAGTCATACGAAGGCGTGTGCCCTGTAAAAGCTCCCACCGCGACAGCCATCCTCCATCCATATAGAGTGGCAAATTACAAATAGTTTGTCAAATTATCAAAACGCCAGACACTACAATAGAGACCACCCACCCACAGCTCAGCCCACAGAAAGCCCAGCCCACCGACAGCCCAGCCCACTGACACCTCAGACCGCTGCAGCCCAGTGGCATCCTCAGTCCACCATAGCCCAGCCCACCGATAGCGCATCCCGCCGACAGTGCAGCCCCCCCGACAGACATTTCGCACCTCAGCGCCGTCGCCTCAGTAAGACCTCACACTGCACAACCGGCCAGTATTGGGCGCGTTGAGAAGGCCTAAACGACACCTGCTGCTGCCAGAGGCACCAACATCAGCCATATACACGAGGCACTTACAATATGTCCAGCGACGCTCGATACCGGGAAGACAAATTATCCAACTTATTTGTAGGCGGGACATTACCGAAGGCGTATATGGAGACTGTAATTGCACAAAGGGTCGGCACGTTACGGGTTGTGCGGGAGCTAAACATTATCAGGTGACCTACTGGGTCTCGCAGCCGTCCAGCCTCGTCATTCAGTGGCCTGCAGGACGACTGTGGAGGCTGGGGTAGTTCAGCGGGGGCAGTTACTCCTACGGTGTGTAGGGGAGACCCGGGAGGTATGGGCCGGTTTTGTGAAAAGGCAAATTTCTTCCAGTGGGCAGTGGCTAGACTCGGTTTTTCACTCTGTGTACGTGAAATTGCCTTTCGCCTGCAACGTGTGCCTGAAATTAGGCATCTGGGATCAAGTATTTTGTCTCGAGATAACTTTCAATAAATCATGTGCTTTTTCGATCCAGCAAAATGCACCGGGAGGTATGGGCCATGGCCCGGGAGGTATGGGCCGTTGTCATGTTTCATATTATTTTCTCGACAATGAGAATAATACTCGTAGCTGGTATCTACCTCGATCTCTCTTAGAGCCCAGGAACCACATAAGTGGCCAACAGCTTGCTTCATGGAGGTCACTTGGGCCCATATGTATTTTGGTAAACTCAATCATGCGCCATGAAATAAGATGAATAATATATTTCTGTTCGAATGAAATTTGAAGTTAAATTTTCGACCTTACGCGACAAAAATAAAATTTATTGACGGGGACATTTCATGAAAGCATCCTTTCATTTATTTAGGATCACCGGGGGTGAGTGGCCCAAACCTCCCGGTTAGGACGCCATAATGTGCGTAGCATCTCAGCTCATAATCTTGCAAGAAAGCTTCATATTGTCTATCCAGTCTTAATTTGCATGCTTTAAACTTTATGTTAGCGATGGTCTGACATCATAAAACGAGCCTGGTTCAAATTTATCACGAATTTTCTGTATGTACCGTATTTTACTCGAAAAGGGCAAAAACGCTTTATCGCCGCTCATTGCCATAGAAGACTGAGGAAGGTTTTGAAAATCACGTGGGTTGTATAACGGAATGGCTGCTACCAGTTAACGCTGTCAAATGTGTAAAAATACGCAACACTTCTTCAAAACTGCGATGGCCCATACCTCCAGGGGGCCCATACCTCCCGGGTCTCCCCTACTCACGGGATTCTGGCGTGGGTACTAACTATTAGCCATTCTGGTGTGGAGCTGCATAGTGCATACCTGTGTCATTCGCTGTACAATTGACATGCATGTTGGTTTGTATGATAGGCTTGTGACAGTAAATCTTCTTATCATAGGCACTTATACGGGTTTGACCCTTCTCACAGTCTTGGGGTTGCTGTCAGCTGGCACACTTCACAGTCACCGGTCTCACAGTCGCTGGTCTGACACTGCTGGCACAGTCACTTCTCACAGTTACCGGTCTGACCGTGCTGACAGGTACTGGCCTGACACTAATCACAGTCGCTGACACTGCTCACAGTCGCTGACACTGCTCACAGTCGCTGACACTGTTCACAGTCGCCGGCCTGCTGTCAGCTGACACTGGTAATCGCAGCCTAACGGGGCAGCCAGGCTGTCCATTCGTTATTGTCACTGAGACGTCACTGCACTGGTCTGAGACGTCACTGCACTGGTCTGGAGACGTCACTGCATTGGACTGGAGCAGTCACACGTTGAGCGGCAGTTCGGCTTCCACTATCTGAAAACGGACAACAGGGTCAGCAAAGACACACCACTGTCAATAGAGTCAGCAAAGACACCACTGTCAACAGAGTCAGCAAAGCGCTGCTGCAGCGATACGCCGACCATCGACATCGTGTGGAAGCATGCATACATCAGGGAGTTGCGGTCACATTGGCACGCCCTGGTGACCCCAGTTACATACATAGACTCCTTTCCCCCGTCTCCTCAGCGGAGGAGGAGCCTCGCCGACTTCCAATATTCCCCGCCTTCCTTGCGGAGGGAGGTGGTATGACGCCTCCCCTCTCTGCTCCCCTCTTTACGGGTCCCCTCCCTGTCCACCATGAAATGCTGCCGCCGTGGCTGCCGCTGGTCCCATGCCCGCCTACCTTTCGGAGCGCGGCGGTGTACTTTTCGTCGGACTCTCGGACGCGCTGGATGCGCACCCGTTTGCCGTGCCGGCGCATCTCCTGGCGCAGGTCGGCCGCGTCGCTGATGGCCACCGGGTCCAGCTGGTGTTTCCACACCAGGCCGCACAGGTACTCGATGTAGTGCATCCTGCAGCGGACGGGACGACTCAGTGACCACGCCACACACAGGTCGTAGCTGCTCATTGGATCGTAGGTGACAGCGGCCGGCCACTCCTATTACATCCTTATCCATTGGCAGCAGTTTATCCGTCCAGTGTCGGGCGTTGGGGATGAGTTGTATCCTGCTGACCCGCTACCCTCTGACCGATCTCCCGACTGACGGTCCGCCACTGTTCGGCTCTCTCTCTCTCCCTCTCTCTCTCTCTCTCTCTCTCTCTCTCTCTCTCTCTCTCTCTCTCTCTCTCTCTCTCTCTCTCTCTCTCTCCGCGCCCCCCCCCCCCCCCAGTGGGCTGATCGGCCGCCGACCCACCTGCAGAGGCCGGCGTTGTCGGGGAACACGGTACGGCCGCACAGGTCGTCCCGCAGCCCGCTGGCCGTCTCCTTCTGCTCGGGCACGCGGCAGCGGCGCGGCGCGTCGCCGTACACACCGCTGCCCGACGGCGGCGCCGTGTCGTACGCGACGCCGTTACTCTGCGGGTGCGGGGGGCGTCAGTGGCCGGCCGAGCGATCTGAGGTGCACCGCCGGACAAAAAGTGCAGGAAGGCAGCGCGTCTTTCGACAATCGAATCATTCCGTTTGCCCGGTGTTAACGTTGGCTCGGTTAAGGAGACCACCCATCGTCCATGTTGTTAAATATGACGTCTATTTACACATGTTCTCGCTCCCAAGCCCCAGAGCAGCCCGCCCTGTCGCCCCCCCCCCCCCCCCCAGTCGGCCACCCTGCCGGGCGCCGCGCCCCGCCCTGCGCTGGCTGACCGGCCGCACCTTGAGCAGCTGCTGCAGCTGACGGGGCTCCTTGTCCCGCAGGTAGAACAGGCAGTTGCGCGGGTGGTGCGCGTGCAGTCCCAGCCGCGAGCACAGCTCCGTCTTGCCGCACCTGCTGCCCATGCTGAACGGCTGACTGCACCCCGAGCAGAACTCGTACTTGCACTGACTGCACGGCACAACAGAGGGGTACACAATACACATTTCCACGTGCTGTGGGTGGGGCCCCAAGTAACCCCGAGCGTACTTGGTTCGAGACACAGAGAAACCAACACAAGATCGTTCTCAAAACATTGATTAGATGCTTTATTCCACGCGTGGTAAAATTAAGGCATAGAAAATAGAAATACAATTAGCACACTCGCACAGTATACGGTGCCGATAAATATAACATTTATGGCCGTAACACTAACCAAGTTCTATGGCAATCGGCTTTCGCGGGTAAAGTCGGCCAACTGTCCAAAACCACTGGTGACTTTGGGTTTGACGGACCGAGATGCGTTACGTCCGCGTTGTCCCAGCAAAGGTGTACTCGGTATCCCAGAGGTGTGTCCGGTGTTTCAGAGGTGTGTCCGGTGTATCAGAGGTGTGTCCGTTGTCCCAGAGGTGTGTCCGGTGTTTCAGAGGTGTGTCCGGTGTATCAGAGGTGTGTCCGTTGTCCCAGAGATGTGTCCGGTGTATCAGAGGTGTGTCCGGTGCCCCAGAGGTGTGTCCGGTTTCCCAGAGGTGTACCCCGTGTATCAGAGGTGTGTCCTAGTTGAGAGTTGTGTCCGGTGTCTCAGGTGTGTGTCCCAGTCCAATGGCTCCTGGATGTATGCCTGTATTGTCCGAACCTGCATGTGAAGTGCATGCAGCCGCCCTTGGCCAGCGAGTAGCGAAACCGGCAGCTGGGGCAGCTGATGCCGCTCTCGGCCAGGTGGCGCTCCAGGCCGGCGCTCTGGTAGTCGGGGTCGTTCTGCTGCTGCCACATGGCGAACCGCTCGCAGCTGACTCCCTCGTGCTGCGCCGACCACTGCCGGACAGACGGGCACAGAGGGACGTCGGCGCCGGGGAGCGCGGGAGAGGGGGCCACTGCCAGCCAGTCGAGCTGGGATATTGGTACAGGTCCAGTATTGGTACAGTACCAGGCCTTAGCCGGGGTCAAATCGTGTCTTACTGTCCTGACGCACAGATAATGCGATTTATGTGTACATGCGTCGCAGTTTCTGCCGACCGTGCGTCCTCTAAAGCATCACCAACACGACACTTTTCCTATATACTTTGGTGCAGCGATCAACGCCCAGCGATGGCCGTGCCGGTTTGGCGTGGGGGGGGGGGAGGGGACCATTAACCGTGCCAATTTGGGTCAGACGGGACGTGTCGACCATACCGTTTTGGCGCATAATGGCCCGGGTATATAGGGCCTTGAATGGCCCGTACCGTACCGTTTTGGCGCAGAGGGCGCAGCTGACGGCGCCGCAGTCCGGACAGTGCAGCTTCTGCTGCCGAGGAGCCGCGATGAAGCCCGACGAACACTGTTCGCAGGGAACACAGGCAGGGCACACGGGCGTTAGAGTCTGGTCCCGAACTGCACTCAAACGCACACTGAAAACCCAGCCTGAATACATACAGCAAACCACCGGGCGCCGGGTCTCAGTGACGCAGTTTGACTTTGATTGTTACCTACATATCAGCAACAACAAAGGTACTCTGAGAGCCCATGAACGCTGCTAACAGGCTGCATGTACGTTAATCAGATTGTACCTGCATGTTTACATTTTCTACAACACATACCTATGCCATATTTATTCCACAGTACTATTGCACCGACACAATAGATTTACCAAAGCGAATAGGTAGACATCAGGCTACCGTTAGCTACCGTTTTTTAATGATTCAAAAAGGTATACTGGTTCAACCATGCCCAATTGCCTAGGCCGTGAGTTTTGGTCTCGAGATGTGATTTGGACCCACCTTGGGACACCACTTGAAGTTGGGGTCCTTCATCATGGCTCGCTCAAACAGCTTCTTATGGAAGAGTGCGTGGACCTCTGGCGACACCAGAGTCTTCAGCATGATATCCAGGTGTGAGAAGTAGTCGCTGGCTATCTCCTCACTCTGAAAACGGTGGGTCGTGGGTTTAAAGCGAGCTCGACTCACTCAACTTACAATGGGCGCCGATGACCACTGTAGTCCGGGCCCCCAAAAAACCCAATTCATCATCATCATCACATCACACAACTTACAATCACATCCACTAATACTACAGTGCCCTATCTGTGGCGTGCTATATAAAGTAAGAGAGAAGGACTAGCTCGAAGGTTTTCAAAAGACAAATTGACGATCCGAACATAATCATCAGAGCCACGCTGGTCACTAAGCAGAGCTTGTTACGAGCGTGCCCACATAGCCTGGCACGGCCTGTCCCGCTCATTGATTCTCCTGGCTGCAGTTCACCAGCTGCTTCCCAACCGCAGACCTTCGCTCTTTAGCGTCATATTTCGAGCGTCGGAGCGACTCGAACCTAGGAACATAGGCTTCCGCCTCTAATCACCGCGAAAGAACAAGGGGTTACAAAGTACCAGCTGAGCTACGGGACGGTGTTTCGTCCGGCGTTTTCGCCTCCCGCCGCGGACTGACCGTGAGGTCGGGCTCGTTGCAGAAGGGACAGCGCAGGTCGGCCAGCGGCCGTTCCTTGATTCGCTGAGTGAAGTAGGCCTGTGCGCAGCTGCGGCAGCACCGGTGGGTGCAGTGGGTCATACCCACCAGCTGTGGGGAGCACAGACAACATCAGTGGGTCGTAGTGGGAACACAGACAGCATCAGTGGGTCATACCCACCAGCTGTGGGGAGCACAGACGTCATCAGTGGGTCATAGTGGGAACACAGACGTCAGTGGGAACACAGACAACCGCAGTGGTTTATACCCACCAGCTGTGGGAACACACAAAACAAAAGTGGGTCATACCCACTAGCTGTGGGGACACACATCAGTGGGTCATACCCACCAGCTGTGGGGACAGACAACGGCAATTGGTCAGTATAGTGGGCTCAGAAAACCTTAGTGGGCTATACCCATCAGATGTGCTTGTGAGACAAGCGTACAAGAATTCAGTCGCTCAATGACAGTTGGGTACATATTTTAATTGTTCTGGACATGATGCAGCTGTCCACATTTGGTATTGAACACAAAAGTCGTTTATATGCAACTGGCAACTTCCTTACTAGACAAGTTTAAAATCAGGCATCGGGAAAATCCTTTTTGAAAGGATTGCATTCCCAATCCACATTCCTTGTGCCGAAGTGGATTGCATTCCTACCCGCAATCCCCTTTTTTCACTTGGATTGTGATCAAATCCGCAATCCTTTTTTGCAATCCTGTTGTATCATTATGTGCACTATAGTGGATCTGGGGGAGGGAGGGTGGCATATGGCCGTGCCTCCATCCCCAAATCACCCATTTCTAGTACCTAGTCTAGGGAGGGAGGGGGGCATATGACCGTGCCTCCATCCCCAAATCACCCATTTCTAGCCCTCGCCCGCACATGGGGGGGGGGTGGTTGCCACCCCCCCCCCCCAGGCAGTCTTTCTGCTCTGCACTCAACATTTTTAGAGCTAGAAGGCTGATTTTTCGTATAGCTGCTCGTCTATCTTTTCTTGATGTCCACTGAAAATTTCAAGTTTCTGTGATGTTTGGTTTCGGAGATATGACCTTGTTTTTCAGGTCATGTCATGACCCAAATGGCCAATTCTCAACATCTTGCGTTTGCCATGGGCCTTGTGAGCTTTTGACACCCTGATTTCGGCCTTTTTTGCCAGTCTTACCTCCCACCTATCATGGAACATGTTGTTCGACGATGTACAGGGGTCAAGGTCAGGGTCAAGGTCAACCTAGGTCATCTAAGATAATTGCGTTTTAGGCAAGCTGAAATTACTTTTTGTGAAGTTTTTTTTTACTGCATTTTTGGTAAAAGCTTCTCAGATCATGATTTCATGTGATATGGACCCAAAAACAATCGGTGCACACATCAGTATACACACAGACACACACAGACATACAAACACATATAATTGACCTTGACCTAACTTGACCTGAAATGACCTCAGCAGCAAAATTCTGGTCGGATAGTGTGACAAAGAGGTTCCAGCTGGCTTGGCACCAGAAAACAGCATCGTCATCGGTATTTGATAAGCAGCGCACTTGGTATCCAACGGTGACCCAAAACAGCAACATTTTTTAGTTTGACCTGACCTGGAAGGTCAATGACTGACCGTAGAAGGTAAAACTGGGTATCATTGGATTCGTCTCTTCCCAAAGAATCTTTTTGGTCTTTACTGCTAAGCTCTATCTCCAACAGGAACGAAATGGCGCGGGGGGTGGCAACCACCCCCCCCCCCCCATGTGCGTTCTAGGATGGGAAAATGGCATGTGCGGGCGAGGGCTAGTACCTAGTCTTGCGAGTAATTCCTATCTAAGGCACAGGTATTTTATGGGAAATATTTTTTGCGTCAAACACCCCCACATTTAAACCTCTACCCAACCAGTGTTTTATATTTTTTAAAACTCGCCCTCAAATACGTAATTTTGCCCTTCCTATGTAGTTCATCAGCGTATATTATTTTGAGCGTTTAAATTAAAAGCGTTTAAATTATTTCAAGTTTCGATGTAAAGCCCTTGATAGTAAAGTACATTAAGCCGATGAAGCCGATCTCATAATTTTCAATCGCAACAAACCATTTCAAAGCACTTATCAAACACAATCCGGATTGGATTGCAAAAATTGGAAATATGATGCAATCCAATCCGCAATCAAATCCTGTTTTTTGGAATGGATTTCAAATCCAGGTGCAATCCACCAAAAAGGAATGCAATCAGGATTTTGCAATCCTGCAATCACAATCCTACCGATGCCTGTTTAAAATAGCGCCTCTGGCTCTTAGCCCATTGGCCTTCGCTATCCCGACCTCTATAGGCCGGGCGACTGGGGCCAATCCGACCTCCGGGTGGGGAGACCGTGTCCGCGCTCACCTCTCCGGCTAGTGCCCAGTGACCGGGTGTCTCTCACTGCCAACCCCCCCCCCCCCACTGACCAGTGACCGGTGCTGGGGGTGCTGTCAGTGACCGGGCCAGTGACCAGTGACCGGAGCTGGGGGTGCTATCAGTGACCGGGCCAGTGACCAGTGGCCGGGGCTGGGGGTGCTGTCAGTGACCGGGCCAGTGACCGGGGCTGGGGGTGTTGTCAGTGACCGGGTCAGTGACCAGTGACCGGGTCCGTCCCCACTACTCACCTCGCTGGCGGAGCAGCGGCCGGCGCACAGCTCGCACTCCTGGTGCAGGAAGCTGACGGCCGCGTACAGGCTGGAGCACTCGCTGGCCGCCTGCAGGCTGTCCTCGGCCGGGAAGCGGAGCGCCATCAGCTGAGCAGCCAGCTCTGCGTCGGCCTGTGAGCGGGCGCGGCCCGAGCGCACCAGGCGGCTGGCGCAGCGCTGCCGGACACAAGGGGCGTCAGCCGACCGTTACATCCGTCCACTACGACCAAGATAAGGTATTGACTGATATTACATATAGAGGAAAACTTTGCAGCATATCCCGAAGAGTGCATGCCTCATTTTGGGGAAAGCAACTGCACACTCATTTAGACAGGCGCAGGCCACACTGTAAACAACTTCTAAACTCAATTTTTGGGCGGTACATGGTTTCCTTAATCATCCCTCAGATAAGATTGGACACACTGAAGAGTTCAGACGACTGTTGCTACTGAGAGTACGGAGTGGCTCACCTGCACCTTTTGTCGTTCGGCCGAGTTCCTCCGGAGCACGGAGGACCGGCCGCTCTTGAGTCCCTCCCTCAGAGCCGCCAGGTCCACGTCACTGGGCCCGGCCGCGCCCGCCGCCGCCGAGTCAGAGTCAGAGTCAGAGTCGCTGGACTCCGAGGCACGCCCCACGGTAGAGGTCTGACCGGCGGTCTCGTCAGCGCCCCTCAGAGTGGGAGACGGGGCCTCGTTGGGGGCAGCCGGCGGGTCTGTCTCGGCACGGGCCGCCTCCTCTGTGTTTTGTTTCACCGCTGTCGACTCTCCAACAGCTGAGTCTGACTCTGCTGCTCGGGAGTCGGCCAGCTCGGCGTCTGTTCGGGGTTCTGAGGCAGCCTCCGCTCCCGGTGGCTCCTGCCGCTCCGTTTCCGCAGTCGGCTCCGCCCGTCCCGCTACTCCCAGACCCTCCTGGCCTGTCGCGGTCGACCGGGGCGTCATCTGTCGGCCGGACGCCGGCGCCGTCTGCTGGACAGACCGGGGCGCCGCTTGGTGGTCCGACCGGGACAGCGACTCGGCCGAGGACGAGGCCGCCAACGCCGCGGACGGCATCGGCGACCGCGTGGAGCTCCGGACGCCGCCGCCGCGGCCCACGCCCGGCTGGAAGCGGGCGCTCACCACCGGCTCGTAGCCCTCGGATAGAGAGTCGGATGAGGTGAACACCACGTGACCGCCCGAGCCGGCCTCCTCCCCCGAGCTGTCCGCCGCCGGCGCCGCCGCACCGGTCACGTGATCGAGCGTGCGCGGCCGGCGGGCGAGCCCGGCGCAGTCGGCGCCGTCCTCGATGGCCGGGATCTCGGCGGCGGAGGCGGGTGTGTAGGGTTCGGACGGGCCGTAATGCACCGAGGGCCCCTGCGGCGCGCCGGCCGGCTCCGTGGGCGGCTCACTGGGCGAGCTGGAGCCGGCGGCGGCGCCGGGGACCGCGGCCGGCCTCTGGCGCTGCACGTGGTTGCAGATGACCCGTTTGGCCAGCTCGAGCCGCTCGCTGGGGCTGAGGTTGTGCCGAGAGGCGGCGAGGAGCGGGCCCGGTGTGGGGCTCAGCGACGGCGACAGGCCGGGCCTGCCGTCGGCCGGCGGCGGACTGGCCCCGGCGGCCGGGGCCGACACTCCGCCGCCGCCCGACGGGGAGACGGCCTCGTAGGCCGTGTCGGCCCCGTCCGCTCCGTCCCCTTCCCTCGGCGAGGCCGAGATATCTGCCGAGGCTGAGTCTGCTCCCGGTCCGGCTGCTGCTGAGCTCTCACGGTCGGTCGTTCCTCTGCGAACGACATCGTCTGCCACTCTGTCGTCGGCTCCCGGCCTTGTGAGATGGGCTGTGGATGACGGAGTGTCGTACGTCTCGGAGACCGCCGTCGACTCGGGGGTCGCCCGGAGTGCGTCTGTAGAGTCAGTGGCCGCCCGGGGTGCGTCTGTGGACTCGGGTGCCGCCCTCGGCGCGCCCTGGGCCGGCGACGAGTAGATTTCCGAGCGGACCCAGCCGGCGGGCTCGGGTCGGACCAGCTGCTCTCTCTCCGTGACGTCCGTCGAAGCGGACGACGAGGACGAGCTGTCAGAGGACCTCCGCTCCTGGGTGTCCGTGTCTGCGCCCGGCGCGGGCGCCACGTCTGCCGCCCGGGACGCCGGGGACGCGAGGGGCGCCGGACGCTCCACTGACGGCCCGCCCCCCGATGGCACGTCACGGCCCTCGGAGGTCGCTGAAGGAACGTCGCCCCGGGATGGCGATGCTTCTGACGTGGGTGGTTCAGTCTGGGAGGGCGGTATCGGTCGCGGTCTCTTCACAACAGAATACTGTGATGATCTGGCAGGCGATGGTGCTTTCGGCTGCTCCTTGGTGATATCGTTCTTACGTGACGATGATGGCGAAGGGGCCGGTGTCGGCTCCGTTTTCACTGTGTTAGCAGCTCCGTGCGTCGCTGATGTCGAGTCAGTCTGACCCTCCGAGCCAGCCACTGTCGACTGGGCTGCTAGCCTGCTAGTCTCCCGGGCCGGCGCTGTTTCAGAGACAGCCGCTGACCTGCCGGTCTCCCGGGCCGGCGCTGTCCCTGAGCCGGCCACTGCCCGTCTGTCAGCCGGTGCAGGCGACTCTCCGTCCAGCCGCCGGCCCTCCGCCCCCGCCCCGTCCGCGCCCTGCACGGGCCGAGGGCTGCCGGCGGCCCGGGCCACCAGCAGCTCCCCGTACACTGCCGGCTCGTAGTCCTCCGAGCTGTCCCTGTCGCTGGCGGCGGCGGCGGCCGGGGGTCCGGCTGGGGCGGCCCACACCGGCTCTGCTGGTGGGGTGGGCGGCGCCGACCGGCCGGCGGGACAGCCGGAGAGCGGTGACGTCGGGGGCGCCACATGCCGCTCAGTTGGCTGTGACGGTGCAGGCTGAGCAGCGAGCTGGGCGTTCTTGGTTTCGGTTTCTGACGTTCCAGTTTTCTTCTCCGTGGGTTTGTCATAGGGTCTATCTTCCCGTGTGTGGGGGGTCTTGTGTTGAGTGGCAGCAGCCGGTGTGGCTACTGTCTCGTATATCCCGGAGGACGGGGAGGGGTCGGGGGCAGAGGACGGGACAGGGGGCTGGACAGGGGGCTGGGGGAGCTCGGCAGGCCTGGGGCCCGCTGCAGGGACAGACTGTGCTGGGCTGGCAGAGGAGCGGGGAGGAGGCGCCGCCAGGGCGGGCTCCGGGGCAGGCTGGATACCTCGGTTAGCGCGGCGAAACAGCGGGGAGGTCGGAGGGGTTATGTAATCCTTGGACTTGCAGGCATCATCTGAAAGAAAAACGACATTTTGCTGTAAGTTACACCGGCCAAATGATAAAGACACGAAAATTTACATATGGATTAGCGTCTAAGCTGGTTAGGATTTATAAAGGTCTTAATATAAATTGCATTGCATTTCGCATATTCTAAATGCAATAGAAGTTTGTTCTAGTTAGCGCCATGTTAATAATTATTTGCATTCTTCGGGGAAAATTCGTGTTTTTAAATGAAGAGTTATGGGAATGACGGTGCAAACATGCGTTGGTCAATAGGTCACGATAATAGGTAGATAGGTGGGTATTACATATTTTGTCGATGTAGGCAGTTCACAAAAGTTACGATTAATAATGCACTGCCCAGTGCATTTCGACATCACCCGCGCACCGACGGGGGGGCGGATATCCGCCCCCCTGAGGTTTTTCGCGAATAGCGGGAAAACCGCGGCGCGTAGCGCCGCGAAATTTGGTATGACTATAACCTCATCAATTTTACACATGGTGTGCAAGTTTGAACCTCCTACCTTTTAAGGTCAGGTCACCAGGTCACTTTGAATGACCCAACCTCAAGTCACTTTTGCAACTTTGTCACCGTGCCAGAGCTACAGTAGATGTCGGAGGCCTTTGAAAGTCGCAGGATATTATTAGGTCATTAGTAGCTACAATTTGTATATCTCGGAATTTTGATATCGGTGACCTAAGGTCAGGTCAATTTCGCGACCTCCCCATTATAAGTCAATGGGGGAAAAATCAACTCCCTGTTTTTACCACTAAAACGGATCGGAATGGCCCCATATACCATACATGACTTCATATACGATCAACCTTCACTACCTTGAGGTCTGTTTTGCTGTTGGGCAGCTGTGAGGTCATGGGACGTCATCAAAGGTCATCAAAGGTCACCAAAGGTTTTTGGCCAATAACTCCGTACAGGAACAAGATACAGACGCGTGGATGGTCTCATTGTGTTCAGATCGTCAAGACGCATCGAATGATATACATGATGACCTCGAGGTCACGTGACCTGAGGTCAACCTTTGACCTTGACCTTTCGAGGTCAACATATATATCATTCGATGCGGATTGACGAGAGGATGACGATGATGCCCTTAGTTTGTTCCTATCTTGACTAATTCGAAAGTTATTCGAGAAAAACTCTCTCCATATCTAGCGCCGCCATTTTGACTTTTTCGACCCCTGTGACGTCATCTTTGACCTGACCTGAAAATGACCTTAGTAAAAATTGTAGATCTTGGCCGTGCGTATCCGATGCCGTTTACCGCTTGTCGCTATCTTGCTTCGTTCTCGAGATCTCAGGGGGGGGCGGTCATCCGCCCCCCCCCCCGTCGGTGCGAAGTTGGCGCAGACCCCCGTCGGTGCGCGGGTTAAACGTTTTAAAACGGTGATCAGCAAACACGATGTGTGACATGTCACTAAACTGTCATTTTCTTACATTTTTCCGAAGGATTTCCTCAATTTTCCAGGTAACATATCGAATAAATGTATAAAAAGTTACCTACTGAAAGTTTGATGTTATTGGCCTAACGCGCTTAGAAGCTACTGGCGAAAAACTGGATGGGCAGATTCGCCCCCCCCCCCCCCAATCGGGGCGTGGGTTAACATTTCCAACGGACATGGACGGACTTCCGCGGAAGGGCGTTTTGACGCTCGCGCCTAAACGACTGGACGACGACACAGCGGAGCTAAAGAGACGGGGGCGGCACTAACCATCGTCAGTGTCTATGTCGGAGGACAGAGTCGAGCACTGGTCGCTCCGCGAGCCACTATCTGCAACTGACAGCGGCGTCAGCAGAGACAGACACCGGGGGAGACACGGGGAGACACTATCTGCAACTGACAGCGGCGTCAGCAGAGACAGACACCGGGGGAGACACGGGGAGACACTATCTGCAACTGACAGCGGCGTCAGCAGAGACAGACACCGGGGGAGACACGGGGAGACACTATCTGCAACTGACAGCGGCGTCAGACAGAGACAGACACCGGGGGAGACACGGAGAGACACTATCTGCAACTGACAGCGGCGCCAGAGAACAGAGTCGGGGAGACACGGAGAGACACTATCTGTCAGTCAGAGAACAAAGTGACAGGGCAGGGAGGATGGGGGGGGGGGGGGCAAGGAGAGAGACACTATCTGCAACTGACAGCGGTGTCAGCGAACAGATGTCGGGAAGACACGGGGAACTACTGTAACTGACGTCGGTGTCAGCTAACGTATGTCGGGGAGACATGGGGCGGGGGAGGGAGCCCGCACCACAGGGCACAAACAGCACAGACCAGGGGGGGGGGGGGGGGTAAGGGGACAGTGGACAGTGGTCACAGCGGGGCAGTGGAACTGGGCAGTCACGTCGGGCAGTAGACGTTGGACAGTCACAGTGGGATAGTAGTAGACAGTGGACAGTCACAGTGGACAGTCACAGGTGGGCAGTGGGCAGTCACGGTGGGGCAGTGGACACGGACAGCCACGGTGGGGCAGTGGACAGTGGACAGTCACAGGTGGGTCATGTGGGTCAGTCGGCAAACGGAGTGACCGCTTCACTCGCCGGCACGGCTGGGGAGGCCAAAGATCAGCTCACAGGAGTATCACCATCCAACGAAGATAGCATGACATTTGCTTCCATTCGTCGGTATCCGTAAATAGTGCATGGTGTTAGACACCGTCAGCCACCTGCCGCGTCATTTTCATTTACGTTATGGCCGGGTAAGACCGGGGTGACACACACCTCTGGAATGGCTTATGTGCGGGGAAAATGCGTGTCACATGATTCATGCCAAACATTTTAAATGAAAAATATTTGAGCGCAGGTACATTAGTTGCCACGGCGTGCTTTTGATAAAACAATTTAGTGAAATGGACAGCCTCGCATGCTCACATTAGTTTGAAAAAGCAAACCTTGCTCGATCAAAATGGCACGGCCGCCGATGGAGTCCATCGGACCCCGTATGTGGCGATCGGCCCGCCGGCCCGGCACGAAAGCGACACAGCGCGACACAACGGCACGGAGAGAGAGAGACAGAGGTGCCTTCTTACTTACTGTCGGCCTTGGCTGACGCCAGGACCGTGGCAGAGCCGACCTTCGGCGTGACCTTGACCTCGGCTGACCCCGGCGGCGTGACCTTGACCTCTCCGTCCGGCGGCACAGCAGCCTTCTCCGTCGGAGTCCCGCCGTCCGCCTGCGCCGCCGCGGCCCTGACCTCGGCTGTATCAGGTTTGACGGCGACATTGACCTCCGGCTCAGTCGCGGGCGGCGGTGTGACCTCCGGTCGGCCGGGCGGCGCGCCTTCGTTGACCTCGACGCCCTGGGGCGGTCCCCAGAGGCGCATGAGGAACGGTTTGAGCTGGGTGCGGTTCAGGTCCAGGTAGGCGGCCTCCACCGAGCCGTGGTTGGCCGTCAGCGCCGTGATGACGTCCTCGCGCGGGAAGGCGCCGCGGCTGGCCAGCTGGGCGTACTGCGCGGCGGCGGCGGGCAGGGCAGCGGTGTCAGTGTCAGAGCGGGCAGCGGGCCAGACAGCGGTGTCAGTAACGGAGCGGACAGCGGTGTCAGTGTCAGAGCGGGCAGAGGTGTCACCAGTGTCAGTGTCGCCATTGTCAGTGTCAGAGCGGGTAGCGGTGTCAGTGTCAGGGTTGGCACTTGGCAGAGGTGTCAGTGTCAGAGCGGGCAGCGGTGTCAGTGTCAGAGCGGGCACATAGTGTCACCAGTGTCAGTGTCGCCATTGTCAGTGTCAGAGCGGGCAGCGGTGTCACCAGTGTCAGTGTGTCAGAGAATATACATTCTTGGACGATACCGCGAAAACGAAATATTTCTATCGAGAGTTTTCAAAGGATTTCATGCACGAGGCCTTGGCCGAGTGCATGAAATCCTTTGAAAATTCGAGATAGAAATATTTCGTCGCGGTAGAGTCCTAGATATTATTTCCTGTATGTTTCTTAATATCGTTCGTTATCTGCTTAAAAAAAGGCCGAATATGCATAAATAAAATACAGTAACAATAACTACACGTTAGCTACTGAAATACTGGCAGTTCTTATTACTTAACAGTTCAGCAAAGCTTACAAATTTTCTTTAAAACAGAAGCCCTCGATGAAATCAAGCTATCCAAGAAAACCATCCAAGAAAACGTCTCGCGCAAAGTTTCTTGGATGGCTGGATTGCATTGCAAGACTGCATCAAATATACAGGAAAAGGGTAAACGTGCTGGTTGACACTGGAGCAGACTGCAGTTTCATAGCTCCTGCTCCTACTTGGAAGCGGCAACTACAAAAGCTGCTATGGGACAAAATATAAATGTCTATATCCAGATTTTATCGAGCGAATTCCCCGACTTGAAGTGGAAAAGGGCTAAATTTTGCACATTGTATCAGGACTCTAACACCAAAGTGCTACCTCAAGGAGTCTGTACTTGTGCTAATCCATGGGAGGAATATGAGAGTCGCAAATCTATAATTTCACTTATGACGACACTGTGACGTCATTTCAAATGGGATCGACACCAAATTTGGACACAACCTCGGCTAGGTATTCAGGAAGATGTGTGCAAAGTTTCGCTTCTTTATCTCTTCGCTTTGCGACGATATCGTCGCAGAAGTAAAGGGGGGCAACTATATGCCCCCCCCCCAGCGGCCGGCGGGTGGCGCTGAGGCCCAGCGGCCGCCGGGTTAACAAACTATTATCGAGTTTCAATAAATGTAGACGCTACGGTCCGTCCCACCTAGCCACCGTGTTATCAGATAGCTGTCCTGTGTCACGTACCGCCCCTTGTCCCCGGTAGGTCCCCGGCTGACCTTTTTCCTCCGCTGCTCGACGCACTCGGTCACTGCGCTCCACACATTGCCCTTATGTAGCCGCAGCGCGTCACGGGCCTCCTTGTTTGATATCGTGCCTGCCAACGAAGTAAAACGCCATAGTCCAATTCCGAAACATACATCACTGCCACAACTGCGAATTGCTGGTGAATAACGCACGCTTACGCATATGTTTAAAGGAGCTCTTTAAGTAAAACAACATCATGTTGCAAAAGCAATTAGATAATTTAACAGAAAATGTTCGAAAGGAATCGTTTACACCAAAAACCTACCAGATTATTATATCGCATGCCTTTCCCTCCTTATCGCTATTGCTCATCAATAAAAGCCAGCGAAATATGTATTGTAAATCGCCTCACGCCCGCACCCCATGGCCTTTGGAGCGTCTCGTGGCGGCCGGTCCCGTCCTGCAGTACCCACCGACGTCGTTCTCGGGCCGCTCGTGTCCGTAGTTGGTAGCCAGCGTGCAGACGGTCTCGATCATACTGTCGAGGTTGTCCAGCAGCCAGGCGACGGGCGGCCGCTCGGAGCAGTGGTTCAGAGCGATCTGTAGATCCTCCGGCGAGAAGTTGTGCTGCTCCGCGTCCTGTACACAGCAGCAGGCCGGTCTCAACTTTCAACGAGCAAAGACATAACCCTCCAGAATTACTAATCATAGCATTGGTACTGGTAGCCTTGATGTATTTACATCTTTATTTTAGTAATTATATTTAGAATCATGAAGTTGTTCGCGCAGGACTGAAAATAAAATATTGGTGCTTCCCACTGGGCTATCGAATCGGTCAACTCGGTCTGTGAGCTGTTCTGGACGCTCCCGGCGGCGCCCCTGCACTGACCCGGAGCATCAGGACGAGCTCCATGCCCTGGCTGGCTGACGCGTCCGACTTCCTGTTGAGCATCACCTCCTCCAGGCCCACCAGGTAGTCGGAGCCGTCTGCCGGCTGAAGGGGGGGGGGGGGCAGAGGTGTCAGTGTCAGAGCGGACAGAGGTGTCAGTGTCAGAGCGGACAGAGGTGTCAGTGTCAGCGTGGACACCTCCTCCAGGCCCACCAGGTAGTCTGAGCCGTCTACCGGCTGAAGGGGGGGGGGGAGGGGGACAGGGCCGGGACACGCCATCAGACAGGGCGTCAGACAGACCGACCGGGTAGTCAGAGCCCTCCGCCGGCTGCGGGAGGGGGGGGGGGGGGTGCAGGGGGCGGTCAGTCAGGGCGTCAGACGGACTGTCAGTGGGGCTGACCAGAGGACCAGCGGATATACCCGGGAGCATTGTTCGACTTCTTACCAGCGTGTAGTTATTCAAATAGGCCAGAACACCTATCCAATGAATAAACAATGGCAGACTGCTAAACATAACTATAAAGAAACCGCACGCACGTTCGATTAAATTGATCACCGTATGTAACAGCCAGAATTAAAAAAGCTAAATGCTGAGATGCATTACCTAAGATATTCTGGCGGGCAGGACCGTCACGGATTGCCAGTTGATCGATGGATGACGGATTGCCGTCGCCGCGGGCTAACAGTCATATCGTCAGTCGGACATCAGCCTGCTTTAGTTCGAGGACCGTCGAACTACCCGCCGTCTGGTCGTGGTTGGTTTGACGTGCAGGGACAGGCCGATCCTCTCAGTCCCGCTGATCCGCTGACAGTACCCCAGAGACCGGCCAACAATAACAACAGCAAACACCCGGGATCGGCCGGCCGACCGACCCAAATATAACACCGTCCGAGCCGACAGACATCAGCTGGCCAGAGAGGCCGCCATCAGTCACCAAAAAGGTCAGAGAGGCCGCCATCAGTCACCCAACGGCCCACTTTGTTCGACAGGGACACTCGGCTGGTTTTGTTGTAGCCATGCATACCTGAGCTTGTTTGCTGCCATTCTCGCGAGCCTTCCTCGCCGGCATAGGGGTGATGTCTGGAATTGAATCCTCTTACTCCCTTACTCTTCTTACCTTTCTCACCTTCTCGCCGGCGTAGGAGCGGTATGGGGAATAGGATCCCTGTATCCCGTGTTACCCCAGTTCTTACCTTCCTCGCCGTCTCGCCGGCGTAGGAACGGTGTCGGGAGTGGGACCGCTCGCCGCCGTGTTACCCCAGTTCTCACCTTCCTCGCTGTCTCTCCGGCGTAGGAGCGGTGCCGGGAGTGGGACCTCTCACCACCGTACCGCGCCGGACTCTCTCCGCGGCTGGAAGCCCCCGAACCGTACGCCGCAAACGCCTGCTGACAAACGGACAAGTGAGTTAAAACGTGGCACGCCGAGAACTTATCAGCCATAGAGAACGAAATATCCAGAAAAAGTTTGTTTATCGTCGTTTCATGTTTATCACCACAGTTATTGATTGCCCTATAAAGTCCCGGCCCCTACCCCGGAGCCCCGCCTCCTGCCCTAGTGTTCCTACCCTGGAGTACCCACCCCCTTCCCCGGGTTCCGGCCCTCCAGTTACCCCCCCCCCCCTCCCCGTGCTCCTACCCTGGAGTCGCTGGCGGCCGAGTGGACCGACGATTTGGATCCGGACCGGCCCTGGAACCGGGATCCCAGCGTGCCGAAGTAGAGCCACGGGTCCGCCCGCTCCTGACGCTCGCGCTGCCCGAACGCCTGTCGGGAACGGGACCGGTCTCAGATACCGAGTCTCCGCAGCTCGGACGGACCGTTAGCAGCGAATCTACTCGGAGGAAATCAATAACTTCTCAGCAAGGATCGCAGCGCGGCCCGGGGTGACAGGACATCTGACTCAGTGGATAAAATAAAATGTGGCACTAGCAGAGAAAGCCGAATATTTACGAGAAAGCCGAATATTGCCGAATAATACTCGTAATTGCCAACGAAATAACTAGCAAGCTGAATTTTAAAAGACTTCTTCAAGCCCGCCTTCACGGCAGTTGAACAGGACACGCTGCTCTAGAGGCTACAGGTCGCCGAGAGGGGGGGGGGGAGGGCTGCTCTGCGGACCAGCTGCGGCTCCGGCGCCCCGTCGTGTCTGTACCTGGAAGGACTGGGTCCGTTTGAGACTGCGCGCCTCCCGGTGACCGTATCGGAAGGGCTCGTAGTCGCCGGCCAGAGAGGTGCGCGAGCCGGCGCGCCCCAGCGAGCCCTCCGAGTACATCGCCGCCTCATCGGGCGTCTGCAGGCAAAAACAGAACTCAGATCGGGGCACTGCGCGTTTATTGGGCGTCCGACATGTGACCAGAGACATAAGGCGGATACAGATCAAGCGACTTTTACAGTTTGCGTTTTCCCTAAGGTCACGGAAGTGCAACATAAGATATTCGGGCTAAAACAAATACAAGCGGCATTTTTTTAATCTTATCCATAATCGATCGGAAACACGAGCTGAGTGCAGTGGCGCGCTGATCGCCCCAGTCGGTGTCTGTTTTATGGACGGTCCCCGGTGTACCGCCGGTGGCCAGACACTACTTCTCACTTGCGTGGCGATGGTCTGCGGCGGCGGAGAGGTGCCTGTCGACTGGGTGCGCTTCCGGGCGACGCTCGTGGCGCCGTCGCGCTGTGTCGACTCCGACGGCAGCGCGCCGCCCTCGGCGTCCGAGGTGCCGACGCTGGCCGTCGTCTGCGCCGGGCCCTCGGCGGCCGACTCACTCGCGACCGACACGCGCCGGGGCACCGCCGCCGCCGCCGCCGCCGCCGCGTCTGTAACGACCGGGCGGGACGTCAGTGGCCGCGCTCCGCCCTCAGTGGGCCGCCGGTCACAGCGCTGCGCTCAGCCTCTGGCAGCTGGCAGCTGCACAGCGCTGCGCTCACACTAACACCCGTATGCACAGCACTCGCTAGCTTGCACACACACGCCCACACACGCGCCGCGCAGCGCTGTCCGACTCCCTCGGCACGCTTCCAGTGTCTCTGGAGTCTCTAGTCTACAGGTGGCCACTCTCACACGCTCCGGGGGAAGCCGCGCTCCTCAGCGGCGCTCCACTCGCTCGTCTAGGACGCGGCATCTGCGCAGTGCAGCGGCGGCTACTGGACGCGGCTATCTAGCGGGCGGCCTAGTGCTAGCAGAAGGGCAGCGGCTGCGGCCCGTAGCCCCAGGCGTACGGCACCGGCTGCCACAGGATCACGTTACCTGACGGTCGGCGCTCGCGACTGGCGGCCTCCAGCTTCATGGCCTGCACGCCGTCTGCCAGCTCGGCCGGCGCGGCGTCCCTGCCGAGCGACGGGCCGCGCGACACCGACCGCTGGCTGCGCTCCCGGCCGTGCGACACGGAGCCGGGGGACGGGTCGCGGGCGCGCAGCGGCGCCGGAGAGCCGGGCGGCATCGGGCCGCGCGGGAACCGGCGGCGCCGGCGCCTCCTGTGCGCGGCGCGCTGCTGCGCCACGGCCGCCGGCGCCGAGCGGCAGCACATGGCGCACACCCGCGTGCCGGCCGAATTCTGGAAGGTGCAGTGCGGGCACGCCCAGGCGGCCACCTCGTCGGCCGGCGCGTCGCTCTCGTCGTCGGACTCGACGCCGGAGCCGGGCTCGTCGGAGTCGGTCGGGTATCGGCTGAGCTCCATCTGGGAGCGGGCCAGGCGGCGGGGGCGCGCGGCGCGGCCCGAGCGCGCGCTGGGCGCCGGCGACGGCTGGCGCAGGTCGCGCTGCGAGACGAAGCGGACGGGCGCGGCGGCGGCCGTCAGGCTACTGTTGCTCGGGTACCGGTGCAGCTGGTCGTCGGCCGGCTCGGCAGGGTACCAGAGCGGCGGCCCGTGGCCGTGACACGTGGGACAGCCGAGCTGCGCCAGCGACTGCGCCTGCCGGCCGGTCAGGGCGGGAGTCAGGGGGAGGGACAGAGAGAGACTGAGCTAAGGAGAGGTGACAGGGACTAGAGAGTGACTGGAGTCAGAGAGACAAAGAGTGACTTGACAATTTACATGTAACACTCGTTCATGCACTTTATTAGTGTATAATGTATAGTAAGATACTGATGCATATTGTGTAGGGACTTCTCTGTCAGTTTATTGTACCTGAAACCCATCGCAGTTGCTTTTAACTACGCTTAGCCTCCCGGGTGGGTTAAAAACGTCGAAGAGGGCCTGTTCAATTTTACGCCTATCAATATTGATAACGTTCCCAGAAAGTTTTGGCAGACAAAATTGAAGTTACTCTATGATAACCGCATAAATCTATATTTTTTGCGATTCGCAGTCGCACCGACTCACGTGCATCATGTGTGGATGGAAGCCGGGGTGTGCGAGGGGGTGTCCGATGTGGTGTCCGGCCGGCGGTGAGGTCATGTCGCAGACGGAGCCTCCGGCGGCCACCATCCCCGGCCAGCCGGCCCGGTAACTCTGACCGCGCCGCGTGGTGACGAAACCCTGAGGGAAGGGGAGAGGGAGAGAGAGGTGGGGGAGAAAGGTGGGGAGGGGAGGCGTGTCAACGCTGATACTGATAGTTACAGAAGTTCATGGCACAAGTTTCAAGCTTACATGTTAAAAATAAGCCGTTTAAAAGTAAGTAGGTAGGTACATAGATAGGCACACGACGCATTGCTAGTGCTGGCATTCAGCTGAGCGCAGAGTGCGCCTCGTTATCTGTATACCTTTGGTTCAGGAGACCAAATTTAAATCAAATTTAATAAGGTCACAGATCACCATGAACGTGCTGTTCACTCGGAGACCACGGCGGAATGGAAACACGTCATGCGGTACAGCATACAGATCAGGCGTAAACTACTAGCGACATCTGTGGTCAACTATCTAAACAATAGTTCCCCTGTTCGCCGGCAGTGTCCCAACTACTTTGTATAACGAACGCGGCCATTCCGGAGCGCCGAGCCCTTTCCTGCACCCGGGGGCGTCCTCACCTGGAGCATGTCGTGCTGGTGGGGGTGCTGGTGCTCGGGAGGGTACATCCAGGCCTGCTGGTGCTGCTGGTGCTGCTGTGCCGCCGGCGACATGTGCGCCGACACCGACTGACTCCGTGGGCGCACCGGCACCGGGTCGCGGTCCTGAAATATTAAGAACATCGGTCATTAAATGAGCTCGTTCAAAACGCCCTGATCAATTAGCAGGTAACGTGTAAGTCATGTATTCTGCATGGTTCAGCTTACCTTTGTTGTTCTGTCAAGTAGGTACTAACTGCCAAAGCTTATTGAAATGCGGTTACAATCAAGGCAGTTTCCCATTGTCTTTAATAGTAAGTGATGTGCACCGAAGCAGTCCCCTGCGGTGCCGGCCTCTCACCGCGTCGCGCTGGTCCTGCGCGGCCGGCCTCTGGTGGCGCTCAGCGTCATTAATAGCTGCCACAGTGGCCGGCAGGGCGGCGCTGGTGTCGTCCGAGGGCGGCCGGCCCGAGTCCACCGAGCCGCGGCTGGGACTGCGCTGGACGGTGGCCTGCGGAGGGCCCAGGTTGGGCGGCAGCGGCTGCACCGACGGCTCCTCCCAGACCGACGTCAGGCCGCCTGACCACGGCCGGGGGGGGGGGGGGGGACAGTCAGAGGGGGTGACGTCAGACCCCTGGCCACGGCCGAGACACAGTCAGACCCCCTGACCACGGCCGGGACACAGTCAGACCCCCTGACCGCGGCCGGGGGTACAGTCAGACCCCTGACCACGGCCGGGGGTACAGTCAGACCCCTGACCACGGCTGGGGATACAGTCAGGCCGCCTGACCACGGCCGGGCGGGTGGCAGAGAGGAACGGTCAGAGGGGGAGTGAGGTCAGACCTCTGACCACGGCCGGGCGGGTGGCAGAGAGGAACGGTCAGAGGGGGAGTGAGGTCAGACCTCTGACCACGGCCGGGCGGGTGGCAGAGAGGAACGGTCAGAGGGGGAGTGAGGTCAGACCTCTGACCACGGCCGGGCGGGTGGCAGAGAGGAACGGTCAGGGGTGTGAGGTCGGACCCCTGACCGCGGCCGGGACACAGTCAGACCCTCTGACCACGGCCGGGACACAGTCAGACCCCTGACCGCGGTCGGGGGCACACTCAGACCCCTGACCGCGGCCTGGGGTACAGTCAGAGGGACACGAGGTCAAGAACATAAACATCCGACGGCTCACAGCTAGAGGCTATTTAGGAACGCACCACCGATCCCTTGACCAACTAATAAACGGGCACCAATTAATCCGTGCCCCGTGGGGGAGGGGGTCGAAACGCTCTCTCTGTTCTCTTTCCTTCGTATTTCCTGATCGAAAACTAGACGAGTAAAAAACATTTCAAACTGATCAAACTGTTATCTCATAATTTCAAAAGTTCAAAATTTTCAAAATCATATAGGATCAAAATTAAAAGGTGTATTTTTAAAATTTTACATATCTAGGTGCATTTGTTCGTAAAAAACGGAATATGTATGAAAGGACAAATACCTACTGATAAAGTACTCCGGAAACTGTAGACCAATATCTTTAAAAAATGGGAAAATTTCCGCTTTTTCACCACAATCAAAATTGAACAGTGCGGCGCAGAATAAGCGCTTACCTATACAAAGCGCAAAAGATTTTATAGTTCGTAATTTCTAGCCATTATTGACGGGGCGGTATACGGGCCATTTTACGGACCATTTAGTTGTGTCCCTTATCAGCACGGTTTATTTGATAGGGCCAAGTTTGTAAAAAGTGCTGATGTATTGCCCTAGCAAATCAATCACCTTCCGCACAACTATCAATGACGTCTGTTGGTAGATGGTTAGTGCGGTGCGTGACTCAGTCTGCCGAATCGTTCTCCCGCTCGGCCCTGGCGCATTGCCAGTGGCGGCGGCCCGCTCAGCTCGTCCAGATGTGACCTACGCTCAGCTGTGCCGCTACACCCGCCTGTGACAGCTCCCCGACCGGTCACAGGGCCGTCCGGAGGACGCGCCTTCCGGAGGAGTGCGGTTCAGACCGCCGAGTCTACAGGCATGGTGTATAGTCTCTCTTTAGAGTATCGCCACTCGAAAGTATCGTTATCGCTCCCTGGTTTGAGAGCCCCTGGCTTTTGAACTTTGTGGGTAGCCACCTGGCCGACTAGTACATAAAACCGTTAAAACGATACAGGCCGGCCAGGTGTCCAACCCTAAAAAAAAAACAAGAGCTCTCAAAACAGGGAGCGATCTTTCGAGAAGCGATACGTTCAAGAGAGACTATACTGCGGTAACGTCCTTGACTGTGTTTGAAGCTTCACGAGACAGCAAAGCGCTCCAAAGCGGCAATGACCGGCAGCAGTAGCCAGTGATCACTTATACCGGCCACACGGTGACACTTACCCTTCTGTGTGGGCGGCGGCGGCAGCGGCCGCACTCCCATGAACCGTTTGAGGCTGCCCATCACCCCCGAGGCTGACTCCTTCCTCGGCAGCGCTGGTGACTGGAACACACAGAGACACGGAAGGAGCTTGTTTACTGAACCTTATTGCTTTGCTTCAACTTTTACCTTCATATGGCAGTGACATTGTTCGAATACGAAGTTCGAAGCCGTGTGTCTTCCGAGGTTAACATTTATGTAGGTATGCTGAAAATGCATCAGATGCAGGGCCTCGGCTAACATGTTAACTGGTGGGCCAAATGGCCCACCAGTGACCCGAAATGGCCCACCAGCCTCAAAGATTTGGCCCACCAGTAATTTTCCGAAAAATCTAAGTTTTCACATTTTTCACATTTCAAGTTGAATTAGCAGATCTTATCATACATTTTCAGGCTGTAAAGTACATACACATTACTACACATCGGTAAAACATATTCTTGTGAAAAAAAACTTCAACCTATTGTTTGCAATATCCTCTTGGGGTAAAAAGTGGACTATAGTATCCGCAACTTAAAAAAAAAGAATGATCGTCGCTGCCCGCCTAATAACCATCACCATTCCCGGTTTCTTGAGACAGCCGTTAGACAGCCGCCTCGGTCACACTTCACCAGATTGGACCAATGGACGAGAAACGGACGGCGTCCGGTGATGTCCGGGGGATGTCCGTTCGTTTCCGTTGGACGCCCGTTTGTCATCCGTTAATATCCGTTCCATGTCCGGTGGTGTCCGGTGTGCTCAACCGGACACCACCGGACATGACCGGATATTAACGGATGACAAACGGGCGTCCAACGGAAACAAACGGACATAACCGGACGCTGACAGTTCTCGTCCTTTTTCTCGTCCGTTGGTCCAATCCAGTAAAGTGTGACCGAGGCTTTAAATTTTATGCAATAATCGTGAAAGACGTCTGCCTCTGTCAATTACAGATAGTGTCGGCGGCTTCCAGCCGATCGAGGTCTGCGAGAGTTCTTGCAAGCTTTCCGATCGATCGAGTGGTTGCAGTCACATAAGCATCTGCCGCAGACCAGTCGGTTACAAGAAAACTACGAATAAAGAACAGACCAGTTCAGACGGTCGGGGATAAGCCTGCGAGCGATCTCAGACGGCTCGCCGAAAGACACGATACAAGCCAGAGTCAAACTAGAGGTAGTGTCGGCGACTTCCAGCCGATTGAAGTCTGCAAGCGATATCATGCGTCTTCACGACCGGTATGATGCTTGCAGTCACACATCTGACCAGTCGGACGAATTTCGAACCGTTCACAGTCAGCTTTCCAAAAATATCTCATTTGGGCTGAAGATGACACTCAAGAATAAGAAGGGATAATTTTCCACTCTCACATTTTGGGTGGCTAGAATTTTCCACTCAGACACCCGAGAGAAATCTGAAGTCTGGGACACTGTTCACCAGAAGTATACATAACTTTTTAAGAAAATATTGGGGTTGCGCAGTGCGCTTGGGCTTTTGAGTCATTTCTTTTCCATGCGACACCAATAGGCATAATGATCATTTTCAGAGATGTTGGGGTTGCTGCTACAACCCTCTTTTGGGGTTCCTCACTTCCTGCTACAACCCACTTTATATATAGTTAAAGTTGCACTCGTGCTGTTCACAATTCCTCCAGATCCACCCGACAACGCCCGATCCCGTCCGACCGCTTTCAATTCTCCGACTCTCCGACTCTCCGACTAGTCGGCGAGCGATCCACTCAGGGCTCGCTGATTTTTTACATCCGACCGGCCGTAAGTTATCGTCCAAAGTTTTATCATCTGCGTCAATAATTTGTGCATACTTGTGCGATTTTATGTGCACCGCCGGAGTATCACCACTGAGAGGGTTGTGGGTCCCTACTATCTCCTCTATGAAAAGTCGGGGGGGGGGGGAGGGTCGAGCCCCGTTTTTTTACATTTTTTAATGCCATCCTGACGTTTTTTGCAGAATAAAGTGGCCGAAATCTGGGGAGAAATCGAAAATTGGGGGGGGGGGGGGGGGCTATGGCTACGAAGGTCAGTCCATGTCGCTGCCCAAGTGGCCCACCAGTCAAAATTCCTTAGCCGAGGCCCTGATTAGATGTGCGATACAGAACCAGGGCTGCACCCTTTACAGATTGAGCTGAATTTCTATGGGACAGGGTAACGCCAGTCAGCCCTTATCCTCCCTGGCTCACCTGCTCCTTTTTGCCGAAGAGGCCGAAGCGTTTGTTCCTCCTGGGCGGAGGCACGGGCGGCTGAAGGTCGGATTTGGGCGGCAGCGGCGGGCGAAACGGGCGCTGAATGCTGTCCACAGCCTGCGCACACACAGTGACACCGAACAGCGTGAATGAATGGGTGGAGAGGGGGCGCCCAGCGCTGACACTGTTGTCTTGGATATACATATTCAGACGATAGTGATATACCTTACAAGTGGGTATAGTATGAGCCTCAAAAACATTTTTTGCTTATTTCCTTCAGCACTGTGACATTATGAATGTACCTACTTACAATGTTGCTGGCTGCTCCTGTTGTGTCCGAGCCACTAAATTTTGGCGGATATAGGCCTAAATATATTATCACGAGAGCCAGAACAGCTCACCTTTCTGACTTGCGCCGACCGTTTGGGGTGACGGTGGTAAGTCAGATGTTAGGGGGCTCACCTTTCTGACGTGGGCCGACCGTTTGGGGTGACGGTGGTACATGTCGTCGCAGGAGAGGCAGAACACCTGGCCGCTGCATCTGTCACAGCGGACAGCCGAGGCGGAGCCGCCGCACAGGTCGCAGTGCGCCCGGTCCTTGGCATTGCCACTGCCTGAAATAAAGACGACAGTCAAACACAAATAGTCAATTCAGTACAGAGAACAGCTTAACCCGGCCGGGCCCGGGGGGTAATCCCAACCACCGCAGCCCGGGGGGGGGGCGTTTTTCGCCCCCCCCCCCTGTCTAACTCCGTAAATAAGGGAGCTACGGAAACAAAAGCGATACCAAACGAAAGGTCCTTACGAGACGATTCTAATGCACCTAAAATTTTTGACCTCAGGTCAATTTTCAAGGTCAGAGGTCAAGGTCAAAGGCAAAAACCGCCACATGTGTAGTGATCTCAAAGTAAGCCTTCTAGAGGACGGCAGGCTGCATCAAACCGGCAAAATTGGCTGTCAAACGAAAGAAGAGAATCTGAGGATTCTGAAAATGTGCTCAAAGTGAAAGGTCAAGGTCAAGGTCACGCTCAAAATTGACCTCAAACTTGGCACTTTTTCGCATATCTTGCGTGCTAACTTCCAAGATGTTTTGAAATGTTTTGAGGCTTATCAGTTCCCTATTTGTGGTTCATCTTACGATACAAGGCTGCTCAAAGATCAAGGTCACAGAAGAGTATCCCTGCTAGAGGCTATTTCACTGATTCAAGTTAGTAATAATAAATAAGACAATTTTGCAATCCGGAAGCTCTAAATGAAGGCTTAGAGGAAAATAGATGCCAGATTCGTGATCAGCGGTTACAAATCCATCATAAACGACCTTTTATGTGTCAAGGTCAACCAGAGGTCATTCGAGGTCACATGAGGTCAACATAAAATTTGACCTTTTCCGAACAAAATATACATCATTCGACGCGGCTTGACAAGGCGAATGCGATGGTACCACTGCCGTAGCTCTAGGACCATTTTTGTCGAAGTTATTTGCGAAAAACTAAAACCACATTTCGGGGTCGTTGACCTGACCTCTGACCTCAGGTCACCAAAACTATTTTTCTATTTTTCTCTAGGTCAAACGCTACACAACCGTGCTCGTAATTTGTCTTTATCTCTAAAACTCTATTTTTAGCAGCTATTTGAAGTTTGCGTCTGTGACGCCGAAGTTTGCCGTGCAGGGGTCTAGAAAAATGGACCTTGTGACGTCATCAAGGGGGCTAGGTCCAAATTTTTTACTTCAGAAGATGTCAAATTGATGGGAGAAAAGGTACTGAAAGTTTCGCCTTCCTATCCCTAAGCGTTCGGGAGCTATCGCAAATATTCGCCAGGGGGGGCGAAAAACGCCCCCCCCCCCGGGCCCGCGAGGGTTAACGGTGAGGGCAGCACTGCCGGTAATAAAGGTAGCATAGGTCATGGAAGACGGTACCAGATATCATGCATCCCCAAGAGTCAACAAATATCAATCCCATTTCGTCGCCTCAATCGATTTTGGTTAGGCACCGGCACCGGTAATTGCGTCTCGGAAATAACTGAATTTCCAGACATGGCGGGCAGTTGAAAAATTAAAGCGAGATGCGAGATGCCCATCTGTTTAGCCAGGAAGCTGCACACGACAGCCACCGCAGGCCTTCGCTGTGTAGTTCTTACTCAGCAGGATACTACCCTGACAAGCATGAGCTCAAACAGTTATCACATCAGGTATTCACCCTAGGAGCGGAGCTAAGGTAAGTGCAACAGCACCCCTGCGGCCTCACATTTACATCTGTACGTGCCGGCTACTCGAGTTACGTTCACACGACAGGGATACTAAGTGTCGAGGGTCGTCGGACGGCCGAAAATAGCGCACTCGACCCCGAGCACCCGCCGCTGCAGCCGTATTCTTGCACGCTCCGCCGGACGCAAATGGTGGGCTGCTCTCTATCTCTCCGTTAGTCTGTCTCATCCGTTCGGTGGTAGGGAATGTGAAAACACCAGCTGGTATTGTCTGCTTTGGTGTCATGGAGTGGTGTCTATCATCTAACCCAGTCTTTTTCATTTTCTAACTCGCTTAGCAGCAAACGCAAAACATTCGAGTCACGCTGATCTGGAGCAGTGGGCTGCTCACTGCTCAGTGCTCAACTGCTTTCACGAATTTGGCAATGACAGATATGAACAGATATGAACAGATATGACAGCAGCCAAATAAAGAATGGCTTTACATAGTGGAAATAATTCAACTTGTCCACGATATTTTTCACGGGAGCTGACACTGGTCATCCTGTAGGGTAGACCGGGGCAAGTCGCCCCGCCGAGGTAAAACGCCTCACCGATGTTTCTCGGAACTGGCAGAGTTCTGGGGAAACATCATCTCTTCTATAAAACGTGCACTATATGATCATTATATGAGCAGACTGGGAAGAAATTGTGATGACTCTTTCGGGAGATATAGCCAAAAATGTGTTTTTTGAGTGATTTTTATGTTTTGTTGTCAGATCATGTATCATGGCGTTCTTTTATGGTCCACATCAGGTTAACGACTTTTATGTGTTTTGAACAACTATTGTCTAACGCTTATCATGCCGGGTTGGTTCGTGTTAAATTATGTCTTGCTGGAGTGCAAGGCGTTGTTCTCTGACCGAACTACGTGATGGGGTAAAACGCCCCAGTAGGTCGCGGGGCAAAAAGCCCCTGGGGCGTTTTACCTCATGTGTTGTTCGGGCTACCCACTTTCTAATGTTCGGTAGCTGGCGAACAGTAAGTTTCTATGCCTTTATGTGTATTTTTCTCAGCAACTGGATGGCAAAGGAAGTATTTTGTTAACATTTGCATTGCAATAATTTATCATTTGGTCTTATGAGGTAGGTGAAAAACCTGCTCATACAATAGTGTCATAGCTGAACACCTGACAGGATGGAATGTGCTTACTTCAGTGCCGTACCTCCAGATGTCTAACGGACCTCTCACATAAGATTTAGCCAACTACCATGTTAAATCTTTAATCTAAAGTATGGGGCTACTTGCCCCAGGCCGTGGGGCGTTTTGCCCTGGGGTTGGGGCAAAATGCCCCATTTGCAGTTGCTTCACAAATCACTTCCTAGCTTGGAGTCCGATCATAAGTGAATGAATTTGAGGGGTGCAATTTAAAGTAAAATGTCCAAAGAACGCATTGAGCACAAATTTGGCCTTCCAGGTGATGTGGGACAAAATTTATGTAGCAAAATAAATTATCTGGGGCGTCTTGCCCCAGGCTACCCTACCGTTCAGCGGTATGGGTACAATACAACGGATAGGATCTCTCGCATTTGGCTCCTTGTTTTAGTACATCTTTGTCTTTGCAAAGGAACACGAGCGTTGTGTTCTTTTTTACGAGAAAGGGTCAAAGGCAGTCGTTTAAAGACCTCGAGTCAACTACAAGTCTCACATGTCTTGTCAGCGAACCCGCGCCATCCATCTCGCCTCATGTAAACAATAAGTTCAGACAAATCGCAATAAAGTTGGCTGGACCGTGTGTAAGCGCTGACGGTGATTGGTCCGCCGCAGTCCGGCGCCCCTGACCCCCCCCCCCCCTCCCCACCGGCGCTGGCCGAGCCACGCGTCCGCTTGGCCGGCGGCCAGTCGTCGGACCGCCGTCCGAGCCTCTGCACCGCCGCCCACGGCCGGGTGCCGACAGCGGCGGGCTGAACACGCCAGGTGCTGCATTAGTCCCTAGATTTCTGGTACTGCCTGACGGTCTACCCACTCAAATATACTGTTACTGGCATCTCCAGTAGATACCCAGACTGGGTGACTTCTGATTGGGAGGAGCTTGGAGGTCGGCTCTATCGGGGCAGTTCCGTATCATAGAGATGCGGCTCAGCCACCACGGCACGGCAGTCGGTAATGTCTCCATCGTACCTCCCCACCCGATGCCCTGTCAGAGGACCGCTCGGACGTTCTCAGTGCCCACCCCGTCCCTGACGGCGCCAAACATGTTTATGACCGGAAAGCGGCCGTGCCAAAGCCGTCGCCGTGCGGCGGCCCGGGTCACAGGTGCCTGATGGTGGCGGCGGTCGGATCTTCTCTCCGGCGGCGTCCAATATCCATAGGCGCGTCGCGCGTCCGGCGTGTGCCAAGGCGTCAGCTCGCTGCCAGGCCAGCTCTCCGCTGTGCTGGCAGAGCGCTGAGACCGACCGGATCCGCATATGTACCGACCTGATCCACCTATGAACCGAGCTGAGCTGATCCACGTATAAACTGACCTGATCCACATATGGACCGACCTTATCTGGGGCTCGGTTGGTAGTCGTCCATAGACGCAACATTCTGCCGACTCCCGAAAAACAAAGGTAGTAGACTGGCCATTGTTTAATACAGCTTAAACAGCAACACCGGCCGGCCTCTGACCTGTCCTGTTCTGCTGCTGCTGCTGTCGGGACGCCGTGTTCATGGCGTGCTCGGCAGCCTGTCGCCGTGCCGGCGGTCCGATTTCCTCGTAGTCGTTGTCGCGCGCCGGTCCGGCCGGTGGTCCCGGCGGCGGCGGCGGTACGGCTGACGGGTGCACCTGGTCAATCAGAGGTCAGGGGTCAGAGGTCAGCGGCGGCGGCGGTACGGCTGACGAGTGCACCTGGGCAGGTAGAGGTCGTCAGAGGTCAGAGGTCAGAGGTCAGGGGTCAGGGGTCAGAGGTCAGGGGTCAGCGGCGGCGGCGGCGGGGGAACGACGGACGGGTGCACCTGGGCAGGCAGAGGTCGTCAGAGGTCAGAGGTCAGGGGTCAGTGGTCAGCGGTCAGGGGTCAGCGGCGGCGGCGGCGGCAGTACGGCCGACGGGTGCACCTGGGCAGTGGGCAGTCAGAGTCCAGAGGTCAGAGGTCAGGGGTCAGAGGTCAGAGAACCTCTAATGAGCTCAGAATGAGCTTATGGCGGCGGCGGCTGCACGGCCGACGGGTGCACCTGGGCAGTCAGAGGTCAGGGGTCAGAAGGGTCAGAATCTGGAGAATGGAGGGGTCATAGGTCAAAAGGTCAGATGTCAGCCGTCATAGGTCAGAAGGGTCAGAGGTCAAAGTTCAAATATTATTAAGAGACCAGCAGCCAGAGGTCAGAGGGATCAGTTAAAGGTCCTGCAAAGATGCGCTACGAGATGGACATCGGACACGCGCGCAGGAATGAAAATGTGTTTTCATGCACAGTTTGGACTGAGACTGCTATTGAGCTCACTCCGGGTGTAAGGGGAACCTGTGAGGTATGGTTGAACATCTGAGGCCGGGGTCAGCTGATTTAGGTGTTCCGGTAATCTATCCATCCACGTCCGGAGCGGGTGGCCGGGCGGGCCATCAACACTGCACGGCGCTGCCCTCAAATATTTACACACAGATGAATGAGTCAGAAACGGGATGCTGCAGCATGGGGGGGGGGCAGAAAGCGAGAGAGGGAGAGAGAGAGAAAAAAAAAGAGAAGAGAAAAGAGAGAGAGAGAGGGAGAGAGCGAGAGAGAAAAAGAGCGAGAGAGAGAGAGAAGAGAGAGAGAGAGAGAGAGAGAGAGAGAGAGAGAGAGAGAGAGAGAGAGAGAGAGAGAGCTCAGGAGCAGCTGCTCGCCGCGCACTGAGTCATTACTGGGCTACCGGCTGATCACCGACGTGCGTTAGCAGCTCGGCCTGTGGGCGGCGTCCTGACTACAACGGCGGGCGACACGACACCTAATTAGATAGTGTCACCAGCAGGACTGGGTCCAGGGGCTCCGACCGGCCTTTTTGGCGGCCGGTCCTCAGCTGACGTCACCCGAGGTATTGTCACCTGCGCTGGGCGGAATGGCGGGACAGTTAGACGGTTACCGCCGAATGGAGTGACGGGAGAGATCAGGGTAGGTATATACTATATAGAAAAACGGAGAGATAGCCGCTGGGCGGAATGGCTGGACACACTGGCGGTCGCAGCCGCTAGCAAAAGGGGGGGCCAAAGTCACACTCGCGGGACATAACATTTATCCGTCACCGGGAGGGGGGGGGGGGGTGATCGGCTAATTTTTTACGTCCACGAGGTGCCGCGCAGTTGGCATTACTTATGCTTCATCCATCTGATTCTTGCGTGAAATCTTTAAGCTCAATTTAAGGCAAAATCACCAGTTCCATTTCCCGTCCCACGGTGCTTCCACCTGTCGGCCCACTGCACCATGACGACGGATCGGTGTAGCATAGGTATACTGGAAGGTCAGGCACGGGGATTCATGACCTTACCACTATAAAACAATTCGGAAAAGTACAGATACCTCTTGCTTTGAACAAGCATGTGAAACCCAGAGAGCATTTTCAGACTATGACATTTACCCATATAGGTAACATACCTAGTTGTGTGGTGGCGGGAGAGAGTAGGTACACCGACCTCTGGAGACCCCCCACAGGTTCCGAGCTTTCAAAATTGGCATCTGAGGGCCGCGCGCGACTCCTGCGGGCTTCGCAACGGCTCTATTGGGGCTCACTCAACCTGCCTAGTCTTACTGCTAAAAAGACTGGCCCTGAGCCCTAAGGACTTCATCAGTCTCTGCCAGCCCCAGGACCCACACCGGCTCATGGGGTCCCGACGTCGAAATATGAGGGAATCTGCGCGGGACCATCAGGACGTAAAGTAATCTCGATCAGGACCAACGCAAGGCTGTGCCGGAGACTGCGTGAGCCCTCTGATCTTCAGAAACCCACCCATGTATGTTTTCACGTAGAGGCCAGTTTAGGGCCCGCAGAGACCAGTACAGGGCCTGCAAACTACAGAGGCCAGTAGTTTGAGACAATCAGTGACCGAGTTGGGCTCTCAGAGGCTAATGTGGGTCATTACAGGCCAACATGAGCCCTCAGAGGTCAGCGTGGGGCCCTAAAAGACCGGCATGAGCCGTCGTTGGACCCCAGAGGCCAGCAGAGGGCCCTCAAAGGCTAAGATGGGCCCTCCTCAGAGGCCAATGCAGGGCCTTAAGAGGCCGGCATCGGGTCTTCAGCAGCCAGTGCGGGCCCTCATTGGCACCTAAAGGTTCGTCTTGGGACACCACAGACAGAAATAAGGCCACCAGAGACCGGTGTGAGACGCTCAGACGCCGGTTGGGACCCCTGAGGCCGGTTAGGGGCCCTCATAGGCCAGATGTGGGGTCTCAGAGGTTGATGTAGGCTCTTAGCGGTCAACGTGGGCGCTTGACCGCCACTGAAGTTCCCTCAGAGGTCAGTGTAGGACGCTCAAAGACCGGTGTGGGAGCTATATTAATAGCTGGGCGTGGTTTTTTTTAGCCTCGTGACGATCGAATAATTGCCAGGGCCCCATACACCTATATGGGGGCCCATTGGTTGTTTGAGGTGGGGGGGGGGGGCAAATGATATGATGGCCCCCTTTATTGACCTTTGGGGGGGCATGGCCCTGATGCCCCCCCCCCCCCGCGACCGCCACTGTGTACACATTACAGACATGCCTCTGAGATTACATACTAGCTCATGCAAACTCTATGCAGGCCCTGGAGTTCCCAAGCTAATCCTTAAGAAACCAAGCCGGCATACGGCGTCACCACCGGGCTTCTGATGTGCACAGCACCAACCCATGAGGTCTTTCTTTAGTGTCTTAGAGCCAATCTCCTTTAGCAGGGCCCACCCACCACTGCCGAAGGGGGTCTCATGCCAGCCATTGCTGGGCCTACGAGAGCCTCAAGTAAACCCACGCTGATATTCCATATAAGATCCGGCCATACTCGTGAAGCGGTGCCAGCGACGCTGACCGCCAAATTGACAGAATGCGAAACTGAGCCCACTCATGAGTGAAATTTACGTCCTTTGATGGCGCAAGAAAGAAAATGAATCATACGAAAAGCTTTTCTAGGACTTTTGTTCGATCTGAAAGGTGGGGCCAAAAGATAGTATGGCCCCACCTTTCAGCACCAAAGGGGGGGCCATGGCCCCCGTGGCCCCCCCCCCCCCCTGGGACCGCCAGTGGGCCTGGACAGACAGTCACCGCGCCTGCCGCTGTCAAACTAAATTTGATGCGGATAGCAGGGCGCGCTGCTGAAGCACATTTTTACCCAAATCATCCTAGAAACGCGTTTTTTTAACACAGAAAATAATTGTACGGTTTCTAAGAATGATTGTGCATAAATGGAACCACTGGCGGATCCAGAAAGAAAGTAGGTATTTTGCACACCGTGGGGCCGAAGGAAGGCCCATTGGTGGATCCCAAAGGTAGTTTGGGTATGGACTTTGGACCCTGCGCTAGCGCAAACTTTCACGCGAAAAAAAGGTTATCAGATCTACAAAAAAACTCGTTGGGTTTCATCGTCTTATGTGTTGCGTTGAGGATATCGGGAGTGCCTTGAGCGTTGCAGCGATGAAAGTAACGATGGTTTCATGAGAGTCTGACATTGACTGTTTTTAAAATAATCTGTGCTGTGCACTGAACAAGATTCTCGAGGTAACCAGAAATAATAACAAAAAATAATGACGGACATTAGTTGGATACAATGCAGCGCTGTACATCATCATACAATGTTATTGCATGCTGATTGCCAATCAATACAGTGAAACATTGCATACGAGATACAGTGACTGGCTGCTTGTTACTTCAACGAATCAGCCCAGTTTTCCGGGGAATATCGCCGGCGTGCCGCGGTGCGATGCCAAAGACAATAACCGCTGACTCGCGGCGCCGGCGAGACGATACCTTTGACGGAGGACGGACTGCCGGCAGCGGCGACCGGCCGCAGAGCGGCGACTCCACAGCGGGGCTCGCGCGGGCGCCCAGAGGTCCGGTCACAGGGCCCGGCTCGGCCGCGGCAGCCCGCCACACCCACCCTCCACTGCCGACGCGGCCGACGGGCCGACGGACCGACGCCGACGCCGGCGCGGCCGCGAATTTTCAGAAGCGTTTATTTTAACGCGTGACGCGGGCGGCGGAGCGCCAGACAGGTGGCGGCGGCGCCGGCGTCCGGGTAACCGAGCCACGGTAGCCGGGGGAGCCCGATCAGCCGCGGAGCCGGCGTCCGGGTAACCGAGCCACGGTAGCCGCGCCGGCGTCCGGGTAACCGAGCCAAGGTAGCCGGGGGAGCCCGATCAGCCGCGGAGCCGGAGCCGGCTCCGGAGGTGGAGCGCGGACCGATCCGATCCAGCCGACTGCGGAGCTCGTCCGGGATGTGACAGTCGCGAGCGATTCAATGCACTTCCAGCCGCGTGTGGATGCTGTCCCGCACGGCCCACCTGTATTGCGGCACAGTCTACATCACGTCACTCCCATACTCACCAGGCGCAGTGCTGGGCCGCTCACCGCTGCGCTCATTTGTGAATTTGCGCGAATTTTGCCCTGCGAATTTACGCAAGTAACATCAATTGCTCTTTAGTTATCAATGATAAAGTGAGTCCCATTTTGTGTTGCAAATTTATAATTTGTTTCTCAACTGTCCACATATCCACACAATACCTACTTTAAATTGTTGCTGCCTTCTGAGCCATCTGTCAGAAACCAACTATCAACATTAAAGTAAGCAGTGAACGGAAAATCCTACTCAATCAGTAGACTTCATATGCACTGTCAAGACTCTCGCGTATATGACTTGTGAGACAGAAATTACGGTGAAATTTTTGCAGCTAGCTCAAGGAAAAATAACAAACGGTTGTCGCCACAGTTCGTATACACTGACGTAAGTTATGGTCGGCTCTCAATGTACCTAACATAACACTTATTCACGACGGAGTATAGGGCACCTTTATGATTGAATTTGGAAGTAAAGAAGCAAAGCAATCAACATTGTATGCGAAAGGTGGAAAACTTATTAGTGAACAACTACTAAAATTTGTGAGGATCAAACGGATCAAACGGATCAAATGGATCAAATATGGTGCCCAGTGCTCCATCGTAAAAAGGGCTGCTTTCATCCAGTTGATTTTATACAGCTGGTGTTGCGCATTGTCCATTTAATGGTTATTCATAAGGATTTTGATCAAATTGAGCGGTCTACGTCAACGAAGAGCAAGTGCATTTATATGTAACTATACAGGCCGGTATGAAAAATAGCTAGGTAAACAAAAGCATGTGTTGAAAGCAGAGTCCCAGTCGGTCCCATGAGTCAACCGAGTCCCAGTCAGTCAGTCAGTCCCAGTCAGTTGGTACGCATTTCAGTTACTCTGATTCACTTGTAAAGGGGAGATCAGAAAAAGACCTAACCTAAGGTCAGAGGTAGATAAAATCCGAGTCATACAAATTGAAGTCACTGGTAGGCTTGTAACGTCCTGCGATGTTGAGAAGACTCTGTTATCCATTACAACTTAAGCAAGCGTCAAAGGCGCCCGTATGTGGTGGGATATCGGGTCACTTATTAAGGCAACATAATGAACCCACCGCAGACGATAACAAGCTGATGTTAGCACAAAATGCGTAAATCTGATGACGTTATTAGTCATCTAAAATCTTGTAGCGGCACGGGCCGTTGGGTTAAGCTAAATTCACGAAAACAAAAATATTGGGGGATCCACTCCATCTGTATGTGAGTTAAATTGCGGGTAAAATAATTGTATCCAGGTTAACTTTATATTGTATTGTTTAAAATGTAGCAAGATGTTTGCACCCATTTATAACAGGGAAACGTAAATATTGACGTTCTAATAAAACAACAAGTGATGAACTCTCACTCTTCGAAAAGGCAACCTGTGAAAAAGAAAAAAGAACACTGCTACTCTATAAAAAGGGTTACGCGACTTAGGACGAACAGTGTCATTATTCTTCACGGCACTCCTGCATCTTGACCTCTGGCTACTCACAAACGTCCTAGAGACCCACTGGGGCATGTTGCGGTGCCCCAGCGCGTGCGTGGGTCGCAGCCGCGGCTCCTGGCCCCGGCCGGCGGGCGTCTGCAGTCGCCGCAGGTGTTCCTCCTGTCAGCCGCCACCGGTCAGGTCAGGTCAGTGGTGGAGGCCTGAACTACTGTAGGTAACAGCGACCTGCGGCGGCCTCCGGCCCTGGCGAGTGCCGGGTCATGAGGTCAAGGTCAGTTATGGCATTACAACTGCCGGCTGCTGCTGTGTCGAAGTCTGCTAATTCGTCGTAGAGTAAAGCCTTACGATACTTGGCCTACTGGAGGTGTTTCTTCAATTGGGGGAGATAGAAGCTACATCTGAACACTGGGGTATGCCTTGTGTTGTGTCCAATTACCTTCATTTAAATTGTGCGCTTTGAGAAACCAATAGAAGGCGTTTAAAGGTGGCAGCGTCTACGTGACAGTTACGCTAACTATTGGGAAACCGTTCACATACTGACCCTAGCATGCACCTCAGCGCATACCATGCTTGCTATTGGGTGGGTGCTCTCCCGACATACACTCACTTGAAAACTCAAACACAAAGCTGTCAGAGCGTAAAGTTTGCAAAGTTTGACTCCGGCTCTCATGCCTCGCACTCGCTCCCCCCTCTCCGCAATTTTGTAAACCTCGTTTCCAAATAATTTCGTCGGCCCGGTCAATAATATATCTTATCTATGCAGATAAAGAATGCCTAAGTATATCTATGACCTAAAAACGGTTACGGCCTAGGTACGGGGACCCGCAGTTGCTACTGTACACGAACCCCATGACTACATATAGCCGTCTGTCCTGTCCAGTAACAACCGATAACATTGCTATCGACTGCCGGTCCCTGTATGTACAAGAGCAGCTGAGGTTTTCTGTGCGTACCCTCTGACAGCTTATCGTTGTTCCCTGTGAGGGTGCTGGGACAATTTACTCAGGGTCGCTGTACAGTAGCAACTGCGGGTCCCCGTAGGTACCATATGTGCCATCCACACACTATTCAGGGGCCTTGGGTCAGTCAGAAGCCCACCGCCCGGGTCACCATGCCTCAGCTGTGTCTCAATGTGTCCCCCTGTCTCATCTGTGTCTCCATGTCCCCCTGTCTCAGCTGTTCCTCCGGCAGCGGTGAGACAGTCCGGGGAGGGGGGCGGGCTCCTCCCGATCTCCCAGTGCCAATCCAAACAGCGCCGGCTAGCGCCACTATTTCAGGAGGGAGACGGGCCGACACAGCTCCTCCGCGTGCCGACCGACGGGAACCGGTATCAGCTGACTGAGAGCTATCAGCTGACAGAGAAATATCAGCTGACTGAGAGCTGTCAGATGACAGAGAGCTGTCAGCAAACTGAGAGCTGTCAGCTGACTAACTGAGAGCTGTCAGCTGACTGAGAGCTGTCAGCTGACGGAGAGGTGTCAGCTGATCGAGAGGTGTCAGCTGACAGAGAGGTGTCAGCTGACCAATTGAGAGGCATCAGCTGACTGAGAGCTATCAGCTGACTGAGAGCTATCAGCTGACTGAGAGCTATCAGCTGACTGAGAGCTATCAGATGACAGAGGCGTCAGCTGACGGAGAGGTGTCAGCTGACTGAGAGCTGTCAGCTGACTGAGAGCTGTCAGCTGACTGAGAGGCGTCCGCGGACTGAGAGGCGTCAGCGGACTGAGAGGCGTCCGCGGACTGAGAGGCGTCAGCAGACAGAGAGGCGTCAGCGGACTGGCTGAGAGGCGTCAGCGGACTGAGAGGCGTCAGCGGACTGCCTGAGAGGTGTCAGCGGACTGGCTGAGAGATGTCAGCGGGCAGACAGCTGATTGTGTTAAGCCAGTGACGTTTAAATTTAAGACCTCATCATGCATCAATTTGACATGTTCTCTGAAAATTTGAGCGAAATCACTCGGAAACCTGTTGAGAAAATGACCTTTTAGTGACGTCGTGTTACGCCATTTTTGCTTCAACTGCAACTGCAAAATTTTATACGCCTTTTACATCTTCAATTTTTTTAAGAATCAATGCGCTACAAGCGAACATAAGTACGTTTTCAGTTATTTTTCAGTTTTTTATCGGCTTCTTTGATTTTGATAACGTTTCCTAGAAAATGTTTTTGATAGTCGTTATTTCCCAAATTTTGAGTTTATCAAATAGAAATACATAAAAGAGAGATAGGTACACACAGTCGGTGCACCTACCCCCACCTTTTTTAACCCTCACCCTGGCAGGGGGGGGGGTCGATGCGACCCCCCCTAAGGTTTTTCGAAGCTAGCGTAAAAACGACGGCGCGCAGCGCCGCCAAATTTGGCACAGCCTATGGGGCAACCATTTTACATATGACCTGAAAATTTCAGGTCCGAGTGGCCTTGGGTCAGGTCACCAGGTCAGGAAAACCGGTACAAGGTCATGGTCAAATTTCAATTTTCTTTTTGCACCTGTCCAACTCACAGTTTTGGACTGATTTCCTTCAAACTTTCAGGATGTGCTAAGTTCACCGAGTTGTATAACATATAGTTCGGGTTTTATGAGGTCACTGACCTGAGGTCAGTTAGAGGTCATTACGTCGTAATGTTAAGCCTATGGGAAAATACTAAATTCGGAAAATACTGGAGATATCCGCTTCGTTCTATCACTTTTGTGCTTTGAAACCACAGTACTTAACAGCAGATCACTTGGTGCTTCTTTGTTTGGTGTACTTATCCATGGGTCAGGTCAAATGAGGTCAACTGAGGTCAAATGACGTTTTTGCCAATAACTTGGCACATAATGACGCTAGAGCTTAAAAAATGGTATCATTGTGTTCCTGGTGATCAGCCGAATCGAATGATATACGATATGATGCAATTTGGTTAACTTGAACTTAATTTATAAACTTTCAGGATGTGCTAAGTTCACCGAGTTGTATAACATATAGTTCGGGTTAATTTATAAATTTAAGTTTACTTAAAATTTAAGAAAAACTTAAAGTACACTTAACCTTCGCCCCAGTGGGGGGGGGGGGGCATATGTTACCACCCTGTCACGTTTTTTGCGTGTGAATAAAAACCGCGGTGCGTAGCGCCGCGCCGCTTGGGGTAGCTTTTGGTACATTAATTTTGGACAATGTGTGAAATTTTTGACCCCAGGTCATGTCAGGTCAGGTCACCAGGTCAAGTTAACTGACCAAGCCTTAAAAAAAGTTTGCAATCATGTCCAGCCTGCAGTGTTTGTCAGAAACGTTTGAAACTTGGTGGATTGCATGCTGTTATGGATGCCTACAATTTGTATATCTCGGATTTTTTATATCCGTGACCTAAGGTCAGGTCAGTGGCATGACCTTTCCATTACAAGTCAATGGAGAAAAATGAAAATGCCTCTAGATCCGTGTGTACGCATAGGAACAGTCCAAATATTTCAGAATCACAATGATTTAGTCCACTCGTGATGACCAAGGTGTCATTTTTGCTGATAGCCTCTAGAAAGGTCATCCGAGGTCATTTGAGGCTACAAACAGTTTTTTGCCAATAACTCGCGATTGGAAAGAGATAGAACGCTGGGGATGGTCTCATTGTGTTTGTCTTGTTGAGACGCATCGACTGATATGCAACATGACCTTTTCCGGTCAGGTCATGACCTTGACCTGAGGTCAAATTTTCAAGTTGACCTTTCAAGGTCAAATTATAGTTCATTCGACGCGTCTCGGTGAGGGGAACACGATTCTGGCAATAGAAATGTCGTGGCTTTTTGTAGTCGAAAGTTATTGGCGAAAAACACTTTTCGTAAAAGCAGCTATTTTTGGAGTTTTTGCCCTCTGGAGGCTAAACCGTTGACCTGAGGTCAATATTGATAATGACCTTTTCAAAAGAAGAGTTCAAAAGCTATCGATTGTTCTATCATGCGTTTTTCTAGCTACCATAGTTCCTGAGATAGCGGCATGTTTTCTGAAAAATATAATGACAATTGGCAAATTTTGACCTTTGATGACCTCTGGTGACTCTAATATTGCTCTAAGGTGAAAAATGACCGAAATACTTTCAAACGTTCGCACTGAGAGCTATCGACTGCTTTTTACCGCGTCTTTCTAGCCCTCTTAGTTTTTGAGTTAGAGGTGGGTGGTAACATATGCCCCCCCCTCACTAGGGCGAAGTTGGCCGAGACCGCCACTGGGGCGCGGGTTAAGCAAGCTAAAAAGTATATCATTCGACGCGCCTTGACGTGCTGAGTTCACTGGTGCTTTTCGTTTTGCTCTATCTTAATTAGATCAAAAGTTATAAGCGAAAAACTTTTGACCTGTTTTTAGCGAAATTTTTACATTTATACCCCCCAAAACCCCCCTGAATATTGACCTAGAGCAACCAAATTTGCACAGGGGCGAGAACTCCAGGGGGCCCACCTACCTATCAAATTTGGTGTTTCTAGGTGCCATAGGAGCCAATCGCGAGGGGGGGTCGCATCGACCCCCCCCCCCCCTGCCAGGCCGTGTTATGAAAAATGCCCTGTCAGGGCGGGGTTAATCCGCGCCAGGCTTGGTCTGAGTTATTCGTGCCGTGCTGGGGGTGGGGGGATGGGGGCGTTTTCACGCCCCCCCCCCCCCCCACCGTCAAACTCGGCTCCTGGGCTACGTGGCGACACGCGGTAAGTGGCATTCGAAAAAAATAATGACAAATATTTCAGTCACTTTTTAGGTCAGGTTAAAGGTCAAGTCGCCAGAGGTCATCAAAGATCAAATTTGCTCTATGTAGGTATTTCAACAATTTTTGAAACATCCGACGCATATCTCGGGACCCAATAGACCTACATCGCCGTGGAAAAGCGCATTCGATAGCTCTTTCACAGGCCTTTCTGATTATTGCCCTCAGATTTGACTTCAGGTCGACGGTTTAGCCTCCAGAGGGCAAAAACTGAAAAATAGCCGTTCTTACGAAAACAAGTTTCTCGGCAATATCACGTGGGTTGTATAACGGAATGGCTGCTACCAGTGTACGCGGTCAAATGTGTAAAAATACGCAACACTTCTTCAACTCTACGATGGCCCATAGTCATACCTCCAGGGGGCCCATACCTACCGGGTCTCCCCTACCTAACATATCGCCATGAAACATTCAGGACCACTCCGGGCATCAATTTTACA